ATTCCGGTTATATGAGTGTCGCACGTGTTTGTACAGTCCTCTTTCTTGGTATAGTTGCCATGGTAATCTATAACAAAGAAGGGACGGGGGTTAACCATAGTTATTGCACCAGGTCAGGACGATGGCGGTTCATACAAGAGTGATGTGAACGAAAATGGCACGAATCTAACAAGTACCTACAAGAAATCTACCATAATTTCCAGTGCTTGTCATCGGGAGCTCGACTCTCAGTCGTTTTACAATCTCACGTGTTTCCATAGCGCACAGCTCGGGGCTAAACACACCGTTCGCGGCACTCGAGCGGAGTAGCCGTATGCAAAAATTAGCATTGCAAAAATTGACCATGCAAAGCTGATTGACAAATCGGTAACTGGTCCACAAAGACAACACTAATGGCTGTGTGCGTGTCTCTCTGCCTGTCTGTCTGTCTATCGATCCGTTCTCTGTCTGTCTTTCTATCTATTACCCGCCTGTCTGCCTGTCTATCTATGATCTTTGTGAAATGGATGCGAGCCGGTCAGCATTCTTCCGCTGTGCTCTGCGCATAATTACCCGAAAAATGACCGACCATTGATTAGTGCTGGAATAGCGGCAGCGACGATCATCAGTTCGAGGATCTCTCGCGTTGTCACAGTTGCTGACGTGTAGTCCGTTGACCGCGTCTCCAACTGGAGCGGTAGAAATTTCACACAGCTTCGATTTCTGCACTCAATGATGAAGCACGGTTGGGGGGGTTTTCTGGACAACCCGAAATGGGTTGTTGGTTCCGAGGTTCGTTGGTATCCGTGCCAGCAGATTGCAACCAGCGTCGTTCAGTGACTCAGAGCATGAACGCTGCTGGCGTCTTGTCTCCCAAGCATCCGGCAATTAACCAATCCTACGCTTTGTCGATTTATCTCCAGGACACTTTAACGGCTATGTCTAGGCTCATTATGGGGTGAACATTTTTCAAGTGTTTCTTCGTTCTCATAATCCGAGCTCCACGATATACCCGACAAGGAAATTCTAAGCTTTTGTTCAGTAGTATTAAGAGTAGTATGAAGTATCGCGACTTCTTGGTACTGCTGTGTTTCTGAACAACTGTTGCAGACTCCAGTAGCGAATGACATTTGGTTTGTCACTTTTTCTGGCTTGTTCTGGCAAAAATTCTACGCACGAACTAGGTTTTTGTTATTGATTCAATACCGATTTTCCAGTGTCCACTTCTAAAAATCAATCAACTTATTTTTATAGTGAAATTGCAATTTACTTTCGAGAAAAGCTCATTTCACCGTGTTACTTTTTTCCCAATCCGAATTTATGGCACAATTCAGAAAGGGCTGTTTCTATTTTCGGTATTTTTACTGCTAGACTTCGAAAAGACGTCTTTGTTTCCGATTCGACTTCCTGCAGTTGACAGCACATAGTGGGCTTATGGTAATGGCTAAGGAACATATGCCTTGATGTTATTACTATTTTACCGGTGGATGCTACTGATGAAGCCTGCGAGTAGTAAATAACTCCGCAGCGAAGGCCTTCTTCCTTTCACTTGAATCGGGACCTAATGAGCTCCTTTCAAAGTAGATTTCTTTTATTGAACGAGAAAGGCTTTATTGTAAGTGCACTTCTTCGCCTGTGGGTGGGACAGCGAAGCGATTCTATAAGGTTGCTGAAAACTGTTCGAAAGCCTATGACTGGTTCCACCATTCTTGATGCTCATCCGGTAGGTGCAGTTCCTGAGTTTCCGTCAACTTTATGTTCTACTTGAGGTAGACTTGCACAAATTGCACAAAGTGCACACCAATTTGTTTTTGACTAGAGACCCACCTGGAACCCAGCTGATGTTTCAAGTAGAACATAAGGTTGACGGAAACTCGGGGGCTGCACCTACCTGATGAGCCCCAAGAAGGGTGAAACTGGTCATGTGCTGTCGAAGAGTCTTCAGCAACCTTGTGAGTAGTTTCCTTTATGTCTAAAACCCGTTAGTCATATGCGGTCTCTGGGTCTCTGGTTTATGATGTTTCCAGGCAACTGAATGTGCTGCACCAGCCCGCCTCATGTTTCATTTGCCACGATATTCGGAATATCGCGATACACGTATACACGTAATGCACTACTCATAAGGTTGCTGAAAATTCTTCGACAGCCCACGACCGCGATATCGTAGCAAGTGAAACACGAGGCTGCCTGGCGCAGCATATGCAGTTATCTGGAAACATCACAAGCCATAGATTCAGTCGGGTTACAGGCGAGTGTTTCGCAAAACCAAATTCGTTTGCAAATGAGTGCATTTTGCTGAGAGGCACCAAGTTTTATGGCGTGACACTGGATATTCTAAGTGGGCTTAAAGCACGACCTACTTTCCTTGATTACGGTCCATTTGCCGATAACCGGAATCGGTCGCTTAGGTTTCCTGGTGTGTGTATCGCAGTCTGAGAGGTATTCTCGTCTAAGTTTATCAAACGCTCACTTAACTTCGGTAGAGGTTCTCTGAACTGAACCCAGTTGAATGGGGTTTCTAAAAATAGTCGTTCTGCTGAAGTACATCATGATCAGGGGATTCAGCCAAGATTCACTTGAGTCACCCGTGAAAACCAGGTTGATTTGTTTGTCAAAATCTGCCAAATTTGGGTTGAATGAGAACATAACTTTGATGGAGACCGCGCCTACCTGACAAGCTTCTAAAAGGGTTGGCCACCTTATGAGTAATATGTACCGTCGTTCAGCTCGTGATGTGGTGCTATTCTGTGATACCATGCGCAATTTTCAGTTGCCAACTAGTTCTTTTTATTTTTCCACTAGTGTTCTAACCGATCTCGTTGATCGTCTGGCTCTTCATGACTTCACTTCAACTCAATTAAATTGATATGAAAACTGTGAATGCCTCACGACTTCATCAGAATTGGGTAGACAACACAAACTGACCTCAGTGATAAGAAATTCTTGGTTTGTGTGCACCGTGTTCGGCGGCGTGGAATGATTCATTCCATCCCTCTTCGGAATAGGTCAGCGTCGCACGCACGTTTTTGACGCTCGTGGAAGCGAGCAGCCACGATTGTTGATGTGCGGCACCCACTGCGTTGATGAGTCATCGGAATAGTTGTGCGCTCACAGCCTGACCATGAGCTGTCATTATCCACACAATCTAGCTCGCATACAGGACCCTCAACAAGACTCCATTACGATTTTTTGGATTCATTCCGGCTGTAAGATAACTTTTTATTGGACATACTGGAACACAACAATACCCCACCCGAATTTTGTAAGTTGAAAGGAACGGTTTAACTGATGTGTACCGTCTTGGGTCGACTTTTTTGAGCAGACGGAACATGGAACCAGTAGTGTGTGTGGAGCTCACAGAATCCGATGTAGCTCGGTGGTTATGATGCTAACTTAGTAACTGAACTGGCTGAGGTTCGAACCCAACTTCCGCATCTCGACTGCTCCTGCCTAGGCTTGGGCGACCTGGAAGCATCTCAGCCCTTGCGCTTCCTTCGGTTGGCATGGCAACTGTGCACCGAAGGGGTGTTACAGCTGAACGATATTTTTTCATTCGTGCAAAGCTTAGTGACCATTTAGGATGAGCACAGAAGGATATCCGTGGTAGGAACAGGGAAAACATTTCAGTTGAGTGCTGGGATTGCTGGACATCTCCATTCAACCGCGTCCGTCTGGATCGGAATGACTCATATAAACGACACAGCAGACGATATCCCATCACCGATCGATATTATTTTAGCTTTACTCGCCAGTGTCACTCGACGAATTGGTGAGATAATCGAGGTATGCGAACCGGCTGGGAGCCGTTACGATGGCATTCCATGTCTGGATCGATGCTGGCCTAATCCATTTGGTCAATCGAATCATAGCAACTAATCCAGCTACGTACACGAAATTCGATCACTTTGCAGTGTTTGTATGAATCGATTGGATCGCGTTCGAATATGGCCTCAAGAACAGGGAAAACTCCTCACATGGATAACTTTTGTAAGCCATGCTAATTTGACTACAGGTGAAAATTTAGTCACTCTGCCGTGTCTGTCTTCCCTTAGTTGTACACGATCGGCTGTTTATTGCTGCAACGTATCGCCATACGAGTCTGGAGTATCCGGAGGCTCATGTCATGGGCAAAAGACGTGATCCAGCCGCAATGTCTGGACTCTCAGAACTGTAGGATGCAACCTCACAGCCATCCGAATCACAATGACTCAGGAAATTCGAAATAGTTGTTCAGCTGTAGCATCCTTTTGGTGCCTAGCTGCCATGTCACCCAAAGGGAGCACGAGGGCTGGGATACTGGCAGGTTGCCGAAGCCTAGATAGGGGAAGTCGAGAGACGGAGGTCGGGTCCGAACCACGGACCTTCCGACCAGTAAACTCGTGCTCTAAGCATTCAGTCATCTCGTCCCCACTCAATCAGGCAAGACTCTGAACGGTGTCCTGTCACTGGTCTGCTCGCAAGCCCACCATCCCAACTATTTGAGAACGCAACGATTTCAACCCAAGTTTGACTGGCACAGTTAGGTCAGGCCACTAACTGCCCATGGAAGTAACGCGGGAACGTGAGAATAGCCCTCGAGTCATGGACTTGACTCATTGCGGTTCAGTGCGTAAAAATTCTCAAGCATTCGGAACGGCACCATCCGGCGAAAACTTGGGAAAACATCGGCTGAAGCTGGTGTTTTTTTCTTGAGGAGAGAAACGTAATGACGGAAAGTCTGGATATTCGCTATCGGCATTCTGTCGGAGAGAAAAGCTATGAAATTTCTTTTGGATGATTGCACTGGTTCAGGAGATATGTCTGTTCAAAAGTTTTTCTGTTGCCAGGACGACTGGTCACTCTACTTTCGAATATTGATCGGGATAGAATGGCTTCCAACACGTGGACACACCCGAAACTGTGAGAATGAGGCTGATTGGTTTGCGAGATCAATTTGGTTTGATGAAGAACTCACCTGGAACCCAGCTGAATATCTCGTTTATGATGTTTTCAAGCAACTGAATGTGCTGCGCCAGGCCGCCTCATGTTTCAGTTGGTACGATATTCGAGATATCGCGATACTTGTATAGGCGCAACATACTACTCACAAGGTTGCTGAAAACTCTTCGACAGCCCATGACCAGTTGCACCCCTGTGGGTACGACGTCCGTGATGGCATGCCATCCGCTTTCTACACATTTCCTACGCCACAAGCACCATCGTGGAATCTCCTCATACTCTTTTACAAAAACGTTTATTGTCAGTATATTGTTCCATCGAAGTTTCGCAACACTTTTCAAGACAACCCCATGGAACACTGAATTGAATGTCATTGGTGGGCCAATTTTACGAGCGTTGCCCCATTCTGTTATTCTCTCTCTTCTCGGTGCACGAATTTTAAGCTGACAAACTGAGCTAAACTGAACTGAACTGGACTGATTAGTGTTCACGCTAAATTCCTAATTGAACTGTGCTCAAAGATCGATGTTTATCTGGCCCTCAAATTCAACGTGCCGAGGGTCATCGATGAACGGCGAATATGAGCAAATCTCATCCTGTGAGTGAGTAAATTTCCAAAGAAAGTTGTTGAATTTTTGTTGTTTTGAATTGTTCACAAATAACCTCAAATAGCACAGTGAACAAATTTTGGTTGAACTAGTTCGAATTTCGTCCTTGGCTAGAAATTTTGGTTGAACTAGTTCGAATTTCGTTCGAATTTCGTTTCACTCCTCCACGTTTCATTTTCTTTGTTTACCTTCTCAGACAACACCCCTTCCTCCACCTTCCGGTCACGTGATGGGCCGAAATTTCGATGATGAGAGTGACGACGATGTGAGTCCGTACTTACGTTTCATTTCGCGTTCTTTTTTTCTTCCGGTAAACTGACGGGTTTCGATCGAGTGACACAATTCCCGTGTGCTCCCTTGGGATACACGCAGAATCCGTCCATTTAAAATTCAACTCTGTTCCACTGCTCCCTTGGGATACACGCAGAATCCGTCTATTTTAAATTCAGCTTTGTTCAAAATATCTCCCAGTTCGTTTTGCACTGTTCTTTTTCGTGAGGTCGGTGTGAGGGAACGAAAGTTCGTTCTGAAACAAGGTTGATTGGTTCAACTCTTCACTTGGCCTTCATGGTTAAACGCCTATAGTGAGGAGACCATTTCGAAGAACGGACTATTGTTCATCAGACGATCCACAATCCAACGGGGAACACCTCCTAGTACCCAAAGATGGCGGATTTACCAGTAACCATTGCTTCAGAGAGCCGACGTGATTCACTCTGTTGAACTGTTAGCCTGGATGAAGCTTGAATTGGCCCATAATCTGGTCATACACATACATAATATGAATGGTTATAACATGTTACAAGGATGGGGTGAAACAATGTACGACAACTCAGTGGCACCCTTTAAGTGCCTAGCTGCTATGTCACCCGAAGGAAGCACGAGGGCTGCCAGGTTGTCCAAGCCTGGACAGTCTTGAAAACAGCTGTACTACTCATCTCGGCTTTTCAGTACACACTGGCTTCGCTTACGGGGCGACGTTCACTACAACAGAACACTTGTAGTACACTGCTTGTGGAACAGCTGTTATCGGTCATTCTTCAAGAAAACCACTCTCTTCAGGCTAACGTGCACACGGGTGGTAGGGAGCAGGCAACGCTACCAAAATATGACCACTGATTCCGCTAGATATGTTGGGGTGGTAGGGAGCAGGCAACGCTACCAAATTATGACCACTGATATGTTGGTTCATACTCCATACTTTTTCACACTGTCCGACACAGCCCCGGCTGACACGGCCAAATAAATCAACCAAATTAACCGTCTGCGTTGTGGGAATAACCCAGTCGGTATGGTGCCATCGCTTCTAATCGTTTGGACTCGCTGAGAATGCTGTTTCTTTTGTGTGTGTGGGAAAACACTTTATCAGTCGACTTTGCAGCAAGGTGCGCTAAAGTGTGGTTGGTGGACAGACATCCTGAACTGCCTTTCACGAATGTCGGTCCAGCAAACAATCAACAGAATTGCGTGACCTTGTGAAGATCAAAATTGACTTGTGGTGATGACGTTCCGTTCGAATAGGTTCGCACTGTCGGGACGCGTCTCCGAGGTCACCATCGGTCCCACACGTTCCGGATAGCAGGTGCACCAAACACGGAGTGGGGATGAATCTGTTCACGACCGGAACACCGCCATCGGCTTTACAGAAAGAACAAGTGAACGACCATAATTGGCCATTTAGTCATCCTACATACTTACGCAGAAACTCTGTATGTTGGTTCCGGGTTCGAAAGCTATCAGATCACTACCTCAGAATATCGGACAAACATTCCAAGAGGCAACAAGCGCTCGAAAGGGAAATAGCGACAAACTATGAAAGTGGCAACTGCATGCCAAACAACTCATACCCATCAGGGGAGCTCAAACAGTGAACTTCACAAAAAGGCTGGTCGTCACAGAGAGCCCTCCGTCAAGCTGTGGGTAAGAAAGATTGGTCTAGAAGACCCGGAGATATGCACAGAAACGTGGTCGACCCTACTTATCTAACTCATACCCGCCCGCTTGGTTTCTTGCGACAATACCAGTTATGGGCAAGGGAACACAAGAGAGTTATCCTATTTCCGTAGATCGAGATTAAGTAGGACACGTGAGCACCGTAGCACGCGGAAGTAGAAAACACGGGGGGGGGGGAATTCCTCGAAGCCCCTGGCATTCCGTAAAGGATTTAACCGACCGACATATCGAAATCAACTCTGTCTACTCACCGCCTACGGTAACACCAAAGCCGGGGCCATCAAATCGCAGTGTCCATTGTGGAGGCAGACGAACAAAGGTCACGGACGCACACCAGTGAAAAAAGAGCCAAACCAACTGACCAGTAGGAGTGATTATGCAGATAATCGATGGTCGATCAAGGTTTACGTGTATCAATCCAACCACGCACAACAGCCACGCACTGATGAGTTCAACTTGACTGGTGGTGAGACGTTTGCAACCAAATCGCCCAGTTCAGTAAATAAACCAACAGTCCAAGTCCATCCAACACACATGGAGTGAGTTTCTCAATGGCACACCTGAGAGTTGGAAGTTATTGGATCGACTTTTTCTTATGATTAGGAACAATAAATGAAAAGAATACACCAAGTTTGGATTCCTTTCTTTTCGTCGTTTGTTATGGCCGTTTGAATTTTCGACTCCTAGTACGTTTCTGTACAAACTTCGGATCGATGTAAGCGAAACGTCATGAAACGGCAGGTGCAAAGTTGTTAGGTGAACCGAAGCCTATCCGGATCGATGTAAGCGAAACGTCATGAAACGGCAGGTGCAAAGTTGTTGGGTGAACCGAAGCCTAAAACACCCATTAGTAGTTGAATAAAAAAAGAAACACGCAATTACAGTTAAGGGAACCAAGAAGGAGTCAGTTTTTTTTTGTGTGCAGGCAGTATTCCAAATTGGTGAACAGGGGAGTGTTCAGACAGGCGTTGGGAGGACGGGATCTGCCGTCCTCTGTTGTACTTTGCTCACAAAAGTAAAACAAATGTCCAGTTCATGTTTGTACGTTTATGGTTGAAGACCAGAAGGGGAGAGAACAACATGGGTAACGCGCGTTTCGCTGGGCAGTCAGTCAGCTTACACACCGCCTGAATGGAACATCTGCTTCCGGAGTAGCTGTGGCGTTCCGAAAACGGAATAAAACTTCCGGAATGCAGCCACTCGTATGACGCCTGAAGTATGAAAAAATGCAGTTGACCTAAGCATTTGTTTCTGTCCACTATGCTTACAAAATGTGGTAAGCAACTGTTATCGATCTGGGTGAATGCGTAAGATGTGCCTGACCCAGAAAAAAAACTGCGCTTGTTTTAATTGTAACACGACGGAATTTTCCATTTGAATCTGTTCACAGCTACATACGCGGGATGAACTCATGAACCTCTCGAACCTGTTCAGTCGATCCTCGGTGGTACTGAATAGTCCTGAGCGGACTGGCGTCTTTATCAACTATTTGCTAATGCAGAATATGGACCTAGCACCTTCGGTAAGTACGTAGGACACCTTGTCAGAACGTTTCGCGTAACGATATGTAGTAGTTGGGCAAACAGATCTGCATGTTGGACTCAGTCTGTCTCACTTTTTTCCCGAGCAATCCAATTCGGCCTGCTTTTGGTCAGGCTTTTGCGAACAATTTTACTCTGATGGAATAGGAAGGCAGATGAATTCTACGGCTCGAGATTGCCGACGAATACCGAGTACTCGGCCCGCTTCTTGTGTGTAGATAGGGTCTGACCAGACGGTAGAATTGCAACAACTCGCATTGCCTAATCCGCCAGAATATCGCCTGATCAATCAAAACGAACGTATAACTTATGCCTTCAGGTATTTGTTTTTATCGATAAAAATCCACTATGTTCATACACCTTAAACATGAACGATAATAATAATACTAATAGTAATACAAATCGCTTAACCGTAACACCATTTCGGTGCAAAGATGCCGTGCCATCCGAAGGAAGCACGAGGGGAGAGGTTTTGTCAAGTTTCCCAAATCTAGGCAATCGGTGCCGGCAAGGTTAGGATGGGACCACAGACTTTCTGGTCGGTAGGTTTGCAACTTAACCTCCACACAAGCGCATTAGTACTGACTGAATAAAAAACCCTCCTTGAAAATTCAAATAGTTTGGATTTTTTGCGACAAACATGCATAATACACGCAAAATCGAACGCGCCCTTGATAGTGGACGTGGATACATGTACCGACAAAGGTCCTGTGGGACAGTTGACTTGTTAAGCTTGAAATCTCTCGTCTCATGTCTACCAAACCCATGCACAACAGAAGAGGAAGTGGTTTCTTGTTGAAACGGTGGTGAACCGAGCAACAAGAATGAGATAGTTCAACCAGACTTTGAGGTCAAACGTGAACTGGCCCACCTTGTATTTCCGATGCTTCTGGGGTACTTTTACGTCTATGTTTGGTCTCTTACCCATAGCACATAGGCTCCAACAAATTACACTTAAAAAGTATTGAAAGGTCGCTAATTATGGCGTTTATTACCCATTTCAAATGGTGACCTTTTATGGAACTCTGGACCTCGTAGTGATCAATCAGAATGCAGCCCGCAGGCCAATACACCAAGACTTGACTTGGGCTGACTTGACAAACTAATAGGGTTTCAATAGCAAACTTGACCCAATAAGTTAATCAGCGAAAAGATACTCTCCTAGGGTGAACAATAAACTGATATGTGAGCGGCAGACATGCTGAAGCCACCAACGCGCTAGTTCACTTGACTTCCGTTTTCGAACCCAACGTCCTGTGATGTCATTACGTTTTGAACTACTCATCGTAAACTAGTAGTCAGTTTGTAAATCATTTACGACGACGGGACAATTATGCCGAATGCATGGAAACTGCCCACGTTTAGTTATTTGCGCCGGTACAGTTGAGGTTAAAGTCGTAACAAATGTTTCTAAAACGGCTCTTCGGAGATTTTATCTGGACCCTACATAATACACCTCACCTAGTTTACGCAGCCCCACTCCAACCGGGTTGCCACTCCACAGGAGTTGCTAAGTGTTCGCTTTTCGTGTGTTGCTCACTCTTGTTGAGGAGTGACTGTAACAATCGTGACTAACCACATAACTCCCGCATTGGATGGTTCCATCCAGCCTTACGTCTACTTCAAGTAGCCTTCTTTAGCTGTCACAAAATACATGTTCCTCCTCGTATAGGTGAAATTTGAAACCCACCAGTCATTGTGTGTTTGGCGATCCGGAAAATGCCAGTGTTTCTCTTCAACAACCACCCTCATTTGCATACTAATTTGGTTTTGACAGGAGACTCAACTGAATCCAACTGAATCTCTCGTTTATGATGGTTCTGTTCAGTTGAGTCTCTTTTCAAAACAAAAATCGTATGCAACTCAGAGTATTTGTGGCAATCTGTCCAATTTGGACTGATGTAGAACATAAATTTGACGGAATCTCGGAGACTGCGCCCTCCCTGATGAGCCCCAGGAAGGGAGAAACCGATTGTGAGCTGTCAGATTATTCAGCAACCTTATGAGTAGTGTGGCACGTCTAGACAACAGCAACTGCGTCGTCATTATTAGCTGGACAGATCAATTGAGTTGTTGTCTTCCTTCAGTGGCTTACTCACGGAAATCGTACCCTTTTTTTCACTCATTTAGCTTTTCTTCCTTGTCAATCGATACTACCAACGTGCCGTGCTTTCATCCAAAGAGCTTGCGAAAGATTACAGACGACTGTGCCTCGAGATATTCTCCACTTTCATGCACCCAAAATCGGTAAGTATTTTTTCTCCTCTTTTTGTCCTCTCGGTCTTTCGATACTATAATGACAGTCAGATTCGCTTGGTGAGTAGGTCTATCCTCATCAAATCAGATGGGCCAATCCAATTGTTCGGTATTTTGTGGTAACATCTCACGTGACTGTAAATTTACGTGTAGTAAATTGACACTTAGGTACATCCGTGATTTTTTTACACCGCGTTTGGCCTTTCTCAGCTGTGCCAGACGGTAGATTTCTATCCAAGCGAATGGACTAGGAACCACGTATGCCAATTTCTCACTTACGGGACCTCTTACGGGACCCCGCTTATGAGCATCGAAGTATGTTGAAGCACCTTTCGGGGTAGGTGGCACGTTCTCAGAATCAGGCACCTATTCGGTATTCATAAGAAAGTTTCCTCTAGGCCATCGTATGAGAACTGCGGAGATTTCATTTGCAGATGTATCTATTGTACACAGAATAGAGGCTGCTAAGAAAGATCAGTCCAGACGATTTGAACGGATAGCCAAACGGGGACCATCAGTCTACACCGGACTGCTTTCAGTGCTTCCCGTGAAACAGACCCAGTTGATCAAGACGTAGAAATCGAAACGTAGTTCCTAGACAGCATTCATTCAACTTAAAACCAAGAGATTTGCGAAATACACTGTATCATGTTCCTTCAAGTAAGGTTACTGAATCATCTTGTTCAGAACTGTACTCTTTTTGTTCAAGATCAATGGTAAGGCAGTTTGCTTATCTTCCCCCCAGCCCCTCCACTTAGATCTTCCCGCCCCAGTCATCCAAGAAATTTCCCAACAAATGCGTCAATCCAGTTCTGTGGATCAGTGCTTTGCGTCCGCGGTTGAGCCCGCGTTGAATTTGGTTCAAAATCAACTGAACAAATTGTGCCGAGAAATTCAGCATGGTGGGTTTTTCTTTATGTTTAAAATTTCAAAAGACGGAAAATGCTCGATGTAGCTGTTCTTTTGTGTCCTATACAACTAAACAAGTGGTCATCCTGTCTACTTAGTTTTCGGAGAGTATTGAAAAACGGTCTACAACTCTTAAAGTTATTTGGAAAACACCTTTGCTTTTTTTGTGGCAACAGGACGCGATAAAATCAACTGTCTAAGTTGCACTGAGTCCAGCTGTATCATCCTTTCGGTGCCTAGCGGCCATGCCACCCGACGGAAGCACGAGAGTTGAGATACTGCCAGGTTACCCAAGTCTAGACAAGGAAAGGCGAGAGACAGAAATCGAGTTCGAACCATGGACCTTCCGGTCAGTAAATTCGCGCTCTAACCTCTTAGGCCATTGGGTGCTTGTCCGTTTTCCTAAAATGGAGATTTCGTCCTGTGGGTGGAGCTCATCTATGCTGAATAGCCGAAAGGTAATGTGCGGTTGTTCCATCCTCATTGGAAGACATCATCAGCGTGTATCTTATGAAACTGCAGTAGGAAGTTTCGAACCCGAGTTACCCCGGCTACGTTGCCCTCCACCCAAAGAATTCCACTCCATTCGCAAGACCTGTAAAAAACTGAAGGGAAGTCTGCACTTCACACACCCGTTAATTTTTACTTTCCGCGTTTAAGATCCCCGATTTGCTTTTGAGTTCTACGTCGCATTGAATGTGCCATCTGAATACATTCAGTTCCCCCCCCCCCCAGCCAGCCCAATAATTTGGATAAACTGCTCAAGAGAAGATTATTAGAAAACGGTAGAGGCTAACTGGAAGCAATGTTTGCACTCTCAACGCCCTAATGTAAATATGTGACAAAAATAAAATTCAGCAAACTTCCACTGGTCCCAGAATTTAAACTGGCGACTATTTACGGAGGTTTCGCGTCTGGTCTGTTGAAACCTACCAAGCTTTATGGAACAAGCAATTAATAAACCTCCAACTTAGATTTTACCTAGTCATTCTGTGCTGAACAGCCGAAAAGTCGTGTAAAGCACACTCCTGATCAACCGCCCTTGTTCGAACAATCGACTATTCAAACTGCTAACCGGAATGTCACGGGTTCGAGTCTCCCTAGTGGAGTTTCGTGATGATGATTCTCAATAAGGATGAAACAGCGGCTTTTCAACGCAGATTGGCTTTACGTGCACCACGAAATCTCCATAAATCTCCATTCCGAAATTTTTCCACACGACTAACACTTGTCTGCTCTGCCCGTTGTTAGTTCCGATCGGACACAAATGAAACTTTTTGTCCGATTCGGTAGGTTGTAATGCTCACCAGGCAAAAATCACTTGGGACTAACGTGTTTCATTTATTTGCTGCGCGTGAGACACTTTTGGAATCAGTATCGAGTAACAATGGGGGGGGGGGGGGTGGTGTACACAGTTAGACGCGCGTTATGTGCGTACTCCTGTGAGTAAAGAACCGTCAACTCAACGTAAATGCACCCAACATCGGGCGTGCGAATCAGACCGTATGGTTAAATATCAAGACCAAAGGTCAAATCTGAATGTCACGTGAGTGTCGACCAATCGAAACAAAGATAAGATTGTCAACCAATAGGACTGTAAAGGAGTCTACCAATCAGAGTCCGGGCACATTCCTAGTTAGCGTGAGCAGCAACACCACGTCATCTTGTTGACATCGATCCGTCTCTTGATGATGCGAAATTTGCAAAATACTGGTCAAGTCAAGGGCACTCTCCAGCGGCAGTCTCCCGGTCTTTACACAGGGCACGGGTTGGTAGAACAGCTTATAAACCTAGATGTGTTGATAACTTTGGTGCAGAACGGTCACCACACACGAAAGCACTTTTAAGCCTCGAATGACTGAATCCCACGAAATTGTAAGTTTCTGTGTAGGGTGAAACGTCTCAATAGTAACGTAGGCCTATAGTTAGGCAATGAGTCGGCTTTGTATACGAAGTCATATCTAGGCTTCCGACCAATGTGTGATCAGTGTTACTTAGTGTTGTCGCCATTCCGGTTTAATATTCCTTTCGCTTTTTCAGGCATCACCACATGGAGGCCCCAAGAATCCGTTAATTTGCTGTGCGCCCGAAACTATGAAGAACAGCTCACAATCTTCGAACTCTGTCTGACGGCTCGGCTACAGGCATTGCTCAAGCTATCCATGTGGGAACCGGCGAACGCGCAGGGTTCAGAGGCCAGTCACGAGATTGAAAAAATCAAAGCAACCGAGACCTATCAGGCAATAGTCACGTGCCTAGTGACAGCCCACAGATTTTTCGCTGTCAAAGGCGGGACAGAGTCAGCTGACAGCGGGAGCGGATCGGTGTCGCGAAGCAGCTTATTCGCCAGGTGAGTTACAGTGTTGTGCCTGTCGGTTCGCTTTTTCGCTTAGTTTGGTCATTCTGGGAGAAGGTCCCGTCTCAAAGCCACAGAAGTCCACATTGGAACGCATTTTTGGGCTGACTAAAGTCCCTACATTACACAACTTGTTCACCCACTGGTACTCAAATGGAAGGCGAATCAAACGCTTGCCGCAAATAATATTTTCTGCTGGTTTCCGCAACTGTACTTCAACGTCCTTCATTTCTGGTCCTTCACCGGGTGAAAGTTCTATGCAACACAGTGAGTTGGAACTTTGGGAGTAGTCGGAAAACTCTCCTTCCAAGTAGCCAATCAACACAAATATGTCTGGGTATAGATGCCTACTCACCAGAAATTTTTGTGTTCTACTGAGATGTAACAGCTGACTACAATATCCACAGCTCAGAGGTGCCAATTCCCAGAATAGCCAATGTTTCAATAAATATTCCAATGGAACACAAGAACGCCCAATCAGGTTGGAGCCTAAAGCTGCCCTTTAAAGACTCTATGAGAGCAAGCATCGATTTCTCTGCGAATTGTTACGAACCGCCTTCAAGTCGTTCGTCAAGGTCGACGAACAGACCAACAGTCACGTGACCAACTACCAATGACCTTAGACTCAAGCTGCCCGTATTCCAACACAACCCTACAATGATCTTCAACCTCGCACTTTCGAATAGGTCAACACTACCTGACGAATAGTTTAGTTTTATCCATACTTGATTAGGCAGGAGGGTCGGACAAGTCAGCACCATCGTCTGGAGCTGGATTCTTACGCGAAGGTTTTATGCTGTGATGGAGAAACATCAAGCATCGTATCATCCACACACTCATCAAAATTGTAACAAAGTGATCCATGGAAGATTCGGGGCTCCAGATAGCTCAGTGGTTAAGGCGCGACGCTTACGGACCGAAAGGTTCGTGTTTCGAACCCAACCCGGTATCTCGACTGATCCTGTCTAAGCTCGGGTAACCAGGCAGTGCCTCAAACATCGTACTTCCTTCAGGTCAGCTAGATGCCGAGAGGCTGTTAAAGCTGAACGATCATCACCGTCATTGCTAGCCAAAAAATCAAGAAATCTCCTCTGACCAGACCGTACCGCGAGGTTTTCTGCAAAACGTTCGCGCGTCCATTTTTCCACTTTCACGGAAGCAGTATGTTCCTGTGAACTCCCGGTTTGATTTCCAAAATTCCTCCCACCCCACCCACTTGAAGCAATGACGAAAAACCTGGTTGGGTTGACTGACTAAAACGTGAATACTCACCGCTTAACCCTTGCGTACAAATGCTAAACACATTGCACACTGCACCTCCGCCCCTGTACAATCACGAAAATATCTCTAAGCAAAAGAATTCTCTACCTGAGTTTTATGGATACCCAAAGAGTTCAAGAATTTATCGATCCTCGTTCAAGTTGTAATTATCACCCGTTGGTTTTTTTGTCAGCCTGATTTGGAACAGCTAAATTTATACATCTGTGTGTGTGTGTGTGTGCGGTTGCATTGTCCACCTCTCAGGCATTGGTGCACGATACCTTGAGAAGCACATAAAACGAACAACCAGCCAATCAGTTTTCCACTTGTTTTCTTTCTCTATCGAACCACGATTGACACAATTGACTGAATAACTGTAAATATTTCTACGGTGTGAGAAGAAAACTACCTTATTTGGAGTTGAGCAACGGTAAGTTGATTAGTACGGATTATCACGTCTGTCTTTGGTATTGTACATTGCTGGTCGAACCGAGAGACGTATGCGGAACTCAAAAACAGTTTGCCTAGCTCTGTGCACCCCAGGGTGCACACGCGGTACTTGGTTATGTTTATGTAGACTGGCTGCAACTTCATCACGTCAGGAGAAACGTGTACTCCTAAACTATGGTGCTCCATGTACACCAAAGCGGGACGAGCGTGCGCTTGGTTCGATTGTTCCAGCCCAAAACACTCGATCGTGTGTTACATCTGTTTAATTTAGCGGGAAACCAATCTGATGTGGCGTAACACAAGCCCAGCACCGTTCATTTGTGGAATTGAACAGTGGGAATGCAATTTTCGGAGCTTTTCTTTGACGCCGAGGAGCTTGTTGGATCTAATCCACTGCTGTTTTCGCCGACCTTTGATTCTCCCTGTTCTTCCGCACCAGACCACCCGTATTACCATCAGTCTATCCTCAACTCTGACAAATTAGGCGATATGATTTATTTTGGAATCTTACTCGCCAGAACAATCCATGTCGTTTTTGCGAACACTTCTAGGCCGTTTTCTTTGGGGGGTGGGGGGAGAGAAGAACAAATTCGGCTAAACTGCAGGCACATTTCCTCACCTAATGATGATGGAATTTCACCACCTCAAACGAAGGCCGCTTGTCTCAAATGTCGGGGATAAAGTGGCTTTCACAAGCCAACTGTACTTGTTAGTTAGTTAGTTTTTTCCCCTCATTTTGTTCTCTCATTCGAGCGAGCTTTTCCGATCTCTTGATATTCTAGTATTCCGCGGAAAGCGTACCGTGAATTCACCTGTGCATCGTTAGGATAAACGGTCTATCTCATCGTTCGTTTTAGTAACACCCTCTTGTTCGGGCATCACACTGAAGGCAGGTCGGAAGTTCCGCGCTTCATCCATCTCGACAGGCTCCTTAGTGCAATCTGCCAGATGGATTTCGGCGTTCTTGGCAGCAATCAACGTGGTGATGGTCCCTGGTCCTACTGTAGTCCCGTGAAACTTTCTAGAATCAGGCGGATACCATCTTAAAGTTTATTTGTGCAGGCTAACTCTGGTGGCTCATTGGGAAGAATAGTCTTCCATATAGGCATTTGCCAGAGCTGCATATTCCGCGTCATTTGGTTTGGGCAAGGCTATACTACTCAGTGGAGTATATTCTACAGTTAACCTAGAAAGCCAAACTGATACTTTGGACACATTTGTCTGATGTAGCTCCAAAGCTGTTGATATGTAGTCCCGAGGTGGTCTTCGCACAATTTCATTGGTTACCTGGACCTCTGAGTTGCATTGTAGCCTCATTCCCTAGTATTTGATTGGTTCATTGGGCGTGACCAGTTCGACAGTTCTGTTATTCCTCTGCGATTAGATCGCTACCTTCGTGCTTTGTGATCTGAATTCGTTCCACTTGATTGGTTGATTCGATAGCCTTCCATTTTAAGTAGCCTTCTGTCTTTGATCCGATTGGTCCGTTGGTTGTCTTCAGGTTGTTTGCCTTCCCATGTGGCTCAGAGTCCCGTGATTGTGTAGCTTTTTGTTCGTAACGATTGATAGACTGGGTCGACATCGACATGTCTATTGATCGATTTTGTGCTGCGTGCCGCGTCTCTGAAAACTGTTGCTCCCGTTTTATTCTCTCGTGAGCAATTATTTGAACAGTATCCAACTTGAGCTGATGTCTTCCTCTGTCTTCGTGGATTCAAAAAGTGACATTGGGTGACGTGTGCTACTGGCAAGCTTGTGCTTGCGTATTCTGGCCGACGTCTGGAGCGTGTTCGGTTGGGGCATTCAAACACACTTGCGCGCACACATACTCATCTATCTCGTTGGCCGAAACTGTGTAATCCGAGCATGATTTACCCCCTTCAGATTACTCGGATAGCGTTTTCGAAGTCCCTACGTCTTTTGAAAACAGTTGGCAATGAACTGGTTTCCTCTTAAATTAAGCCTGCAAACTTCACACCCGATCCGACCGATAGCGATTCGTGGCCGGCTCATATGCAATTGAGTATATGTATCACCCCCCGGTTAGAGCTAGAGGCGATGGACATCAGCTTCACACTCACCCGTACTGCGTTCTTTCGCCCCTTCGAACTCCTCAAGAGTAAAGATAAAAAACGCTCAGTCCTTTGAGCTGTCAAAGGACTGAAGCTGCCGTTACACCCAAGTTCATTCTGGCTCAAATATTTTCTAGAGAATGCCCCACTGATGACCGCCATTAGGGGATAATCAGACTGCCGATTAACCTCTCGTGGATGGAAGGAGGGACACGAATCCCACTCTCCTCAGAGATTCGTGATATTCGCATATCTGAGCAGTCTCAACAAATCTGTTGCCCTGTTCGCTGAAAGGGACAATCTGATTGTAACTGATTCCTCATCAGTCGAGATGACATCATCAGCACGTTGCGACCGAGCTGCATCGCTTGCTTTTTTTGGAATTGAAAACACACTCAAAATGAGTTTAGTGGTCCTTGTGGTATCCGAGGGCATCTGCTATCTGTCTGTGCTAAGAGCAATCAAAATTGAACTGGACTCTAGTTATCAGAGGCGACACCACGTACAAGGGGGCTGGGTAGTGGGTACTTACAAATAAAGTGGCGTCAATTGCGAAGGGTGCTGGTACCCCTGGCGAAACCCAACAAAGAGTGGATCGGGACTGCCGTTATTCCATATAAAGCAGGGACATCGGAGGTCATTCGAAGGGTTCTAAACACGGCCAACAGAGGAGTAGTTTTCCAGAGGGGAAACACTCTGCGCTCTGCACTGGTGCAACTGAAGGATCGCCTCCGGCAAACAGGGCTAGGGACATGTCTACAGCATCAACTGTAACGACTGCATTGAGGTCTATATGGGACAGACAGCCAGGAAAATTCACGTCAGAATCGGGGAGCATAAGAGGAAAATAAACAGGTCGCCGAGAAAAGCAGATGAATATCAAGCGTTACCAAAATCCTCGGCAGTTGAAGAAAATGCGCTGGACACGGTACACAGGTAGACCTAGAAAATGTTAAGGTTTAGAGGCGAGGATTATGGCCCACATCACAGAGACCGATGGCCGAGACAGTGGAAATCGCCAAGCACCCCAGTGTTAACAGAATAGAGGATGTGGAACTAGCAAGCGTGTGGAGCGCGGTTTTGGATCAGTCGAGCTGACACAGAAGGAGGAATAGTCATCATTTGAACTCCACTTGACCTCATCAACTCAGCTCAATCTCTCGTTTGTGATTGTTTCGTTGAACCTCCAATCGTAACACCCTTTCGGTGCGTAATTGCCATGCCACCAGAAAGAAGCACGAGGGCAAGGATACTGCCGGGTTGCCCAAGGCTAGACAGAGTAAGTCGACAGGCAGAGCGGGTCGGGTTCGAACCACCACGGACCTTCCGGTCAGTAAATTCGAGCTCTTACCACTGAGCCATCTCGCCCCCTGTCAAAATCAAACTAGTATATATACGAGAGTAATTGATGAAATATATCCGATTTAGGTTCATTGAGAACATAAAGTTGACGAAAACTCGGGAACTACGCCTACCTGATGAGATCCATGAAGTGTGAAACCGGTCGTGGGCTGTTGAAGAGTTTTCAGCAACCTGACGAGTAGTATATCGTATCGGTGTGAAACTTACGCGAAACGCCTTACAGAAAACCCCATTTTTCTTTGAGTTTCTCAAACACCGTACGTCAATGAAACTTAGAGTGCTGAACGACGTACGGTGCCACCGTGTACCTAAACTGTAAGTCAGCCTCGATTTGGAAAGCCTTTCTCGAAGATGTACCGGAAAGGCGCAGCCCACAAAGCGAACTAAAAAAGCAACCTTCCGCTTGGACAATGCAATGAAATTTATCCGTTTTCCGGCGTTAAACGGGTTAAGAAGTCTCGAGAGAACACACTACTCATAAGATAGCGAAAAAAACTCTTCGACAACCCGCTACCGGTTTTGAACGTTTTTCAGTTGATCAGGTAGGCGCAGATCCCGTTCCAGTTGAAAACAACTCACACACAAGTCGCGAATTACATTCCATTGCATACATTGATTTGGCTCTAACGATAGACTCAACAGGACCCCTCTGGGTCTCTCGCTTCTGATGTTCTTCCTCAACTGAATTTGCTACACCGAATACCTCATGTTTCGGTTGGTACGGCATTCCATATGTTGCACTGTGTAAGTAGTATGTGAGTACCAAATGAAAATGAAACGGTTCTGTTCCGACCAGACAGTTCTCTTGAGCTTTGAGGAATTCGCCTGTTAGACAGGGTCTTCTTTTCACGTCCACGCTTTTCTCTTGATGAATAAATGCGGTGAGATCAGTAAAAAAAAGCTATCGTTGACTTGCACAATTTCTCCGAATCGTGCGAGTACTCAGACCTGAGTCTTTATGCACCAGCATTTGACCTTGAGCAAGAGCCGATCTTTTTGTCATAGCTCGATTTTGTCTAAACAATCAGCGATTGGTTAGACAGGTTAGACAGGTCACGTGCAGACTTCAAGCCAATCGATGACTTGCGCGTGAACATCACTTAACCCGTGTTGTGTAGCGTGCTGGATAACTAGTAGCTCGGACGCATTCATTGGTAGCTGATCAGGTGACTGTTGATCTGTTCATCGAGCTTGATACTTAACTTGCAGACGTATCTCCACCATTCGAGGAGGCATGCCTAACAGCGCACTGCCGATGTCCGGGGTTTTCGTAACTGTAGCCTGCAGCTGCTATCGGGCATATTGTACACGATCAACTGTGTGGATCTAAAACTCCACGTTCCCCGTGTTGGGGTGCTCAAAAACTAAAAGAAAAATAGGGCACTTCTGTTAGCCTTTCATATTCTGTTATATTCGAAAATAATTTGCTTGCTTCTAGGTAAACGTTGACTAATACTCTTGGCGTTAAGCTATCTGGAAAAGCTGTTCTTGATTGGTTCTGATTCTAGCTGTGTTGGCCTGGATCTATTGATCCCGAGAGTTTGATGTACACAAGAGGCGGTGAGAATGATGTCGGACAAAGAATAAATGACACGAATGTGCGACGTGATTAAATTAACCGTCGACTGTTTGGTCCTTTGACTGACCAACTCCCCACAGAGAGTTATTCTCCCATTGAATCGATTCAGACTGAGTTATGTGGCGAAAAACTCAAGCATTATGCAATCCATCATGCAACCATTGTTTGTTGGCCATCCGACCACACGTTCCTTGTTATCTCACATCAGAGTGATACGTGCGTTGCTGTAGGTGATGGTGACAGACTGTTTCATTTGGGGCATCCAAGAAGTTGGAATCTTCTGACTTTTGAGTTCCAGACGCGTTTCTCAGCAAAATAACCCTCAACGGGCAGGCACCGTTCGTGTCGAAAACATTCGTCTTTTCAAAAACATTCCTCAAAAGGCATACTGAAAAACATTCCTCAAAAGGCATACTCAAAACGGGCGTTGTTTTTCCAAGCGGCTTTCGAGCAAATTTATTATTATTATTATTACCTTCGTCACGACCCTTGTGGAAAAAAACATTCAGCTGAGCACCTTTTCGGTGCCCAACTGCCATGCCACCTGAGGGAAGCACGAGGGCTGAGATACTGCCAGGTTGCCCAAGCCTAGACAGGAGGAGTCGGGAGGCAGGGCGTGTCGAGTTCAGACCATAGATCTTCCAGTCAGCTAATGCGCGCTCTGACCACTGAGTCATCTCGCCGAATTGTGCGTGTTGGCGATAAATTCCCAACTGTTAAACTAGAAGCCTGATCTTTCTCATAGTTGACCTTTCGACATTTCGTTCTGGACTTTGAAAGTGCAGGTGCAGTGGGCTGCCACACTCTCTGATTCTCATCAGGATGTCATCAGATGTGCACCAATTAGGGGTGCATATAAGTACACATATATTCTAATGGTTTTATACCGCAAGTGACCTTGTCACGTGATCGTCCTTCTACTCAGGGAAGTATGGACACATGAATACTCAGAAGCACTTCTTGTCTGACTGTTCATTGCTGAGGGATCAGGGTGAAGAGGATGAGAACTTCCACAATATTGAAACAAGAAAAGGAATATCTGTATGTGATGTGTAATCAGAACAAAAAACTCGGTTTTTATGGTTGTCAACAGGCTAGGTGCATCACGAGTTTATATGGTTCTAAGTTACTCAAAAACTTGGCGAGAAGGGGGTAACGAGTAGTACAGTGGAAACATTCATGATCATTTAGTAAAGACGTCATCGTCAAATCTGAACTGATTGTCGACTGGAGTACGAATTTAAAGGTCATACAAGCTTTAACTGAACATGGTTTCGAGTCGCCTGGCAGAATTTCAGTGCACTCAACATCGATGAAATTGGGAACTTCAAAGCACATGGTCGATTCATGGATGCTAAGCAGATTGCTTACTTGTTCCGTGGGGTTGTCCTGGTCTAATGTGATGCGATAACGCTTAAGTTAGGTTTCTTCATTCATCGACTCTCTGAACTGGGGGCTTCGTCCAACAAACGCCCCGTCGTACCACCATTATGCGACGCTCCACATGTGTGTACGAATGAGTACGCACACACGGTAGTATGTCCTTCAGTTGGAACTTCATGGCGGACATAGGTCGAGCGGGGCGAGATTGCTCAGTGGTTAGGGCGGGAATATACTGACCGGAAGGTCCGTGTTTCGAACCCGACCCGCTCTGCCTCTCGACTTCGCCTGTCTAGGCTTGGGCAACCTGGGGCAGTATCCCAGCCCTCATGCAACCTTCGGGTGGCATGGCAGCTAGGCACCGGAAGGGTGCTACAGCTGAACGATTTTTTCATAAGTCCAGCAGACTTTATCAGTGTTAAATGTGAGTTCGATGATATTCCTTGGACTTCCTCCAGTCAAGGTAGGGACCAAGTGCCTTTTAGTGAGGAAAGCGAAGTACTTGCTCTTCTCTCTTGTCAGAGGGGTTATCTTCCATCTTTGTTTTTTTTCTTGGGAGACTTTGTAACCGAAAATTTCAGTTCCTGTAATGCACAGTCTGCGGAGCATATGTCATGGCTGGGACAGTTAGGCATCGCAGCAAATCGCGTTTCCGTTTCATTGGGGCAAACCTGTTCAGGTGAACGTACTGCCCAGCCCAGGTTTGCTTCCCATTAAGCACCTCCTTCCTGTCTCTTACGGATGATGAAATTGAAGGCAAATTGTGCACTAGGATGCAATAGAGAAAGTAGAAGAATCAATGTTATCTTCTATTGCCACAGAAATGTCGTCTATGGAGAGCGTGACCTGTTCAATTAGTCGTCTAAACGATATTTTCGGAGGTAAACTACTCATAAGATTGATGTTGACTCTCCGCCCTTCTCGGGCCGACAGTTCTCTGCCCTTCACTCTTCTCGGGCTCATCGGGTAGATGCAGTCCCCGGGTTTCCGTTACTTGAGCCCCAAATGGACAAATGCGCTCTTTTGTACACGAATTTGGTTTCCACGAGAGATCCAACCAAATCCCAACTGGATCTTTTGTTTGTGCTATTCGACTAGCTGTTGATATTCCAACTCAGAATGCAACTGCTACCCGACAGATCGGAGGTACCGACTGAAGAACAACGCAAAACGCGAAGAAACGTCGTAGGAATGGACGGAGGTACCGACTGAAGAACAACGCAAAATGCGAAGAAACGTTGTACGAATGGACGAATCGCGCGAGATTCCTGGTCGGGCATTCAAAACGACGCATGTTTTGAATGAAGGCATCCTAGTTTCGGATGAACTGATGGTGAAGCGGACAGTCTAACATGGTGTGAGAAAAATGACTCGTCACTGAACAGAGAGCTACTCCGAGTTTTCAAGGGTGGATAGGAACACGTGACCGACCGCGTTTTCTGAGGTCCATTAAAGATTTCAAGACGCTCGGGGCTTCACTGTGCGAATGAACCAATATGTCTCCGTTGTAAATGTGTAGAGCTGTCGAATAACTAAGGCATTCGTCCAGATGAAATCCTGAATTGTTTGTCCCTTGCCCACAGAATATATTAAAAACACCAACAGATAACCGCCCCCTCCCCCGAAAAATTGGATGGTATGTGTAACTGAAGTCAGGAGCGCTGTTCAGCTGCTCCTTGTTGAGTATGGCCGGCAGAGTGCATCTTGTTCAGTTTTGCTCTAACTCCCAATTGAAGCGAAATTCTGCTTGTTTAAGCAAATGCGGTGTAAGTCGACAAACTCGTTCCAGATCAACACCTGCCCGTCAAAATTAGCCCCTGGGTTTGGCCTCCACAAACTACTATGAGAACGTTGTAAAGCTTTCCCACTGGTCATGAACCCCGGGGCGCACCCCCGCATTTCCCGAAACGATTTAAAAAATACCCGACGGAGTCGTTCGTGTGGGTGAGGTGGTGCTTGTTGGGGACAGAGTCTCATTGGGAAAAACTTGGACTCTGTGCTTGTCATTCCACTAGAGAGGTGATCCTATCATTGGGGCCATCTTTGTGTGAACATTACTTGGGACTGCTTGAATATCAGTACGAACAGGTGACATACGCCAGTATGTTGAAACCCAAGCAGGGTTGGACCGGCTGTCGCTACGGTTTCAACCAGTCAGTACGCTACTGCCAATCTATCGGGAAGTTCAGATCCCTGAAAATGATCCCGAAGTGCCCTCGAACTTCACCAAAGTTTCGATGGGGAAGCCGTCAAGTATGTCGACAAGTGTTTAGGCGCGGCACAGAAACATGACCAACTGTTCAGCCATTTAATAGAAGCACGGTCGATGATGATGGGTGTTCACTAAATGCCGATCAGACAGTCTGAATCAATGGCAAAAAGTGCCCTCTGAATAGCGCTAGCTCCCCCCCGGTAACTTTTGTACTCGCTTGTTCGCAATAAATCTGTTGCGTTCCTTGTTGGCGAGTCTTTTTTCGGCACTAAAGCACTAGAGCTGGGCCCGGTCAAAGGGCACAACTCACAGAGCAATAAGACATTCGGTCAGGAAAAATTATCGAAAAGGACCAGTCTGAACCAGTTTTCCAGATATTTCACTGTTGATCACCTGGCAGTTTGCCCGTTCGCCAACGTTGTCTCTTCGCCTGTAAACGCTAGGTCACCATGCGAGCAGACGTCGTCGGTGCGCAGTCACACGCTGAATTCCCCACTGGCGCAGCGTAAAATTCGAGATACAAAAGCCGTTCGGATATGCTGATGTCAATAAGCAACCGTGAGTCATGCAGAGATGCATGATTGATATGAAGGGATGAAGTTTGCGGGTCGACAGTGGACATCAGGATGTAAAGGAAAACAGCGACACCAAAGTAACGGCGACGTCAACTCCGGCGATTACCTGAACAAAGTTGGCCAAGCACTAGGAAGCCACGATTAGTTGTTGGTCGTACATCATTTGTGGGGTTCCTTTTTACTCCATCCTTGTGTCCTGGTTGGGAACGCATGCAATGGGACTGGTAGGTTATCAACCATCAATAAACCATATCGCAAATCGTACGCTCTCGTTACAGCTTGCTTTCTATCCAGACCATTGTTTCAGTGCCTGCCTCGACGGAACAAAGCGAATATCCGTGATTTCCGCAACACCCGTCTGTCATAAAACAAATAAACGCTGAAACTATCAATCGAAGTAGACTTTTTCTACCGCAATCCGTCTAGTTACAGCACCATTAGAAACTGAATTTCATTCGAAAGAACACAATCTTTCTTTGTGGACAAAACTCACTACTTATAAGGTTATCCAGAACGCTTCAACTACCTGCTTTGTTACTCTTTGGGCTTGTCAAACAGTCTCCAGGTTTTCACAAACCCAGCGCTCAACACGAATACGAATTGATGTCGAAGGAGGCTCATTTACAACACACCAAGTTGAAAGCCACAAACGTGCGAGTCACCTGGGTCTTTTACGGTGAACCATTTCAATTTAAACGCACAGTCTGACGCTTGCTAGTGACCATAGCGTCAGTGGCGGATTCTTTGAAAAGAGTATTGTAACCGGTTAACTAAGTACTTTTATTTGTGCTATAGATCTAAGGAAGTTTGTTGTCTAATTCTCTAAAATGGAAGCTAGAGATGGTTCAGTGGTTAATGCGCAGCCCACAGACCCGAGGACCCAGGATTCGAACCAAACACGCTCCGCATCTCTATTGCTCCTGTTTAGGCTTGGGCAACCTGGCAGTATCCCAGCCCTCGTGCAACCTTCGGGTGGCATGACAGCCAGACACCGGAAGGGTGCTACAGCTGAACGATTTTTATTTTTTTCTTTTTCGGAAATGCTGAGAATTGGCTGGATGTCCGCCTAGTTTCCAACTAATCGATCTCCCGGAAACTAATGGTTTAAATTACTAGCTAGCTGTAGCGGTGTTTGAACTAATTCAAGTCACTAATTCAAGTATACGTTACTAACCTAAATTACATCTCCATACCGTAAGAATTCAGCTGGTATTTGAAAGCTGTGTTCGGGTTTGAGTTCGGTACTGCCAGTGCCCTAGTAGTGCAAACAACTCTGTCCTGTTCAATGTCATTGTAAACGATCATCCAAAATGCAACTCCAAGTTGGTTGGATTTATTTGAACTGACCAATCAGAATAGCAGTTTCAAGCGAAATTCACGTTTGATTGACTTTTGACCTCACTGCATCAACAAAAAAGACCACTTTTCGATCAATTGTGGTCGGTTACGCTATTTGTAGAATTCGCTTTCACGTGACCAGCGTTTGAGTAATCCTCATTCTGTTCTGGTGAGTCCACAGCAAAGGGGGGAAACACTGGACCCGAGTTTCACTTTGATTTGGGCTCAGTAGTAGTGTATATCGAGTGAAGATTTAAACATCGGACATCTATAGAATCAATCTCATTATATATAAGGTTCTATCGCAAAAAAAACAGCCAACTAATAAAAATTTCATGGGATGTATAGACTTAAAACACTACTCATAAGGTTGCTGAAAATTCTTCGACATTCGACGACCAGTTTCGCCCTCCCTGGGACTTATCAGGTAGGCGCTTAGAAACATCATAATCGAAGGATTCAGCTGGGTTCCAGCTGAGTCTGTCGCAGAGCCAAATTTGTTTACAAATGAGTGTATTTCACAACTTTCGTCGGATGACTGAATCCGACCACTTTTTTGGCAAACCAATTAAATACTTGGTGAATAACAATCTATCTATCTGTCTAACTAACTAACTATCTATCTGTCTATTCTGTGAAACACAGCACAATGAGCTCATCCAAGATGGGAAAGTCCTGATCATATGATGCCTTATTTGTTTTCAATGTTCTCACTGGTTCACTGAAAGGAACGAAATGGTTAGAGATTTTGGCGTAACCTGACCATCTTAATATGATCAAGGTCAGCGACAACCATAGGTGTGCCATCCATCGGGATGTGGTCACATTCATCGTCAGGTGTACTAACCGCGTAATTGCCGTACAGTATTTGTAGCTGCCACGGTTTCGTTCACCGATGATTCGGGGAGGTGGGCTAGGCAGCTGCGCATTGGAGACAGGAACTGATGAATTGGTGCGTAAATACAGCGCTTTCAGTGGACTATCAAGTGGGGGAATTGGGAAAGTAGCTTGGATGCACCAGCGCCGTTGAGGGCACGGCTGGGCCATGTTTGACAATGTCTCTAACCATAGATGTGGCCCGTCTCGAGGTCACCATCCAGGAAGACGGCAGTGACCAGCGCAGCTGAGCTTGCTGGTTGAGAGTGACGATCTGGATACATTCCAAGCGGCAGTCCAAGAGCGTAATTTCCTGGCGAAATATATCGATTTGGTTTTGACGGGAGACACCTGAAATCCAGCTGAATTTTTCCATTATGATGTTTTCAAACGACTGAATGTGCTGCACCAGGCCGCCTCATGTTTCCGTTGGCACGATATTCGAGGTACATCGCGATACATTACGTAGACGTAATACACTACTCATAAGGTTGCTGAAAACTCTTTAAACGGGTAGCCACCATCGAAAGTTTCACGGAAAATGTGCAGGGGATCCCAAATACAATTTAGCTGTCGCTAATCTGCACACAGTCTTCTGGGGATGGTCCGGGTTAGCACTACTGATTATTTCAGCTGTCCATGCTGCTCGGTTTTTCGTCATTTCTTCTGTTTCTAAAGACTAATCCTTCTTCATAAATATTTGCATCTTGCCCGAGGTGAGATTTGCTCCTAGTTGGCCATCTTAGAGAACACTGTATTGGCAACGTTGTGAAATGCAGGTAGCTCGGGTGCGCTGATTGGTTGTGGTCTGTTCGTCGGCTCGCTGTTCGCCGCCAAGCTCGGCGAACAGACCAACAGCCCATAAGAACACTGTATCTCCGAAATGGCACCCGGATTAGTCTGTATTCGTTTGTATTCTTTCTCAGACACCCTGAATATTGAAATGGCGCCTAATGTTGCTTACCTTCGTTTAAGTCGGCCGTAACTTAGGCGAATTGTGTTTCTCTTGCAGTCAACTAGTTCCGATCGATACGAGGTTGCTTTTCTGTTTTTTTCCCAATTGGTACAAATTTGTGCATCCTGCAACGCTAGAACTTCTATTCACAATGTACAACCTACAAGTCTGTGAATTGGTGTGGGGATCAACCAAGTTGTTGGTCACGATAACACTTTCATGGTTGCAGCGCATGCAGTTAGACATACGTGTTTAAATGCAAAAGAGAAATTATCGTGTAACAAAACACCAGTAGTTAGGATTTTATGCCTTGTGTTCGTTCCGCTGGAAGTACTTTCAAGCCGAACTGGTTTGTCAAATTCCTTCTCTATCCCCTGGCAGGTCTGTTGAGAATTTGACCTCATCATCAGTGAACAGTGGAGTTGGCAACGGCACTGGAACCTCAAGCGGTGGAGTACCAGGAGCTGGGTCAAGCTTGTGGACAAAATTGCCTCATTTTAGCGCAAAAATGAAGCAAAAGTCCCACGGACATTTGCTCATGAGTCGTAAACCCAAAGTAAGTTGAACTCGTGTCGAGGTTTGCTTGATGATGTTTCGACAAATGCTCTCATTTGCATTAACTGAATCTCTCGTTTATGATATCCTACAACTGAATGTGCTGCACAAAGGCCACCTCATGGTTAAGTTGGCACGAAAATCGAGACATCGCAGTATNTGAGTCACTTACAACCATCAAGCCTATTACGTAGTTATTAAGCGTGAAGTTCAGATTTAATCCTTTATGGGAAGAACATCACTAGAAATTGTCACTTTCTGTCTACCCCTACAGATGAGGACCTCATTTAGGTGAACGACTGAATTCGAGAAATACACTCTTTGCAAACCAATTTAGCTTTCACGAGAGACTCAACTGAATCTCTCGTTTATGATATTCTACAACTGAAAGTGCTGCACACAGACTGCCTCATGTTTCGGTTGGCACGATATTCGAGACATCGCAGTATATTTTCGTAAGGTAAACTACTCACAACTTTGCTGAAGAAGTTTTCAGCAACCTTGTGAGTAGTGTCCTCTAGGTTTGTATTTTTTCCCCAATGGGTTTGTCTGACAACATGGGGTGCAGTGTTGTGCGCGTCCAGGACGGACCAGATTGTTTTTCTCTTGTTCCCCTTTGAGAGCAGGAGATCACACCCAGAAAGCTGTGATCACACCTGGCTTCCCAACTTAAGTTGCTAACACATAACTGACTCCTTTGCATCGAATTCCACTAAGAAGCAGGTCGCATTTCAGGGCCCAATAAGCACGTATGATCAGTCCGGCTGTTCGAACTTCCATTGTGCGTAGTTCGATCATTACAAGTGCGAAAGATGTCTGCCTAATCCGTCGATGTTTACTACTACCGTCTCATCACTTTTTCTTGCTAGTCAAACAACAGGCGAACATGTTTCTTTACTGCACAAGTTTCTTGTGGGACTTGTCGGTCGACTCTCGACAGCACAGGGATTTCGCACTCGGTCACACTTTCCGTGAAGGGCGTTTGTGGCAGCCATGACGGAAAAAACAGACAGACTTGTTTGGGAAATGAAGGAAGTTGGCAGTCAGTCAAGCCCAGTACAATTGAATACGTCTCATTGACCTCAGGTTTTTGATAACTTAGCCTGGATTCGGATTGGATTCTGATCGAATCGCCGATTCAAGGCACAAGTGGGGCACCCAAATAGTTTAGCGGTTCCTCGGTAACGGTCGTGTCGACATTCAAATTCTACTCAACAACTTCATCCGGTACAGGAAATGAGGCGAAATTCTCATCGATTTGCGCAAGCAGTCAAGCACCACAGGATAAGTCGAGTGTGTGAAAACATTGAGCACTGAAAAGACCCATGCGACGTGATTGGTCGAATAGAACAGAAAGTGTCAATTGTATTGCGATGTCTTTATAAACCCTCGGATTCCTGTTCACCATTACAAACCTAAGATGAATGGTCTTTGAACAGCGGAACGCCGGAAATGGTTTTCGGAGCATACACGCGAGCGTTTGGCGCACACCTTGTTAATCGATTTTACTCTTCAAGATTTACTTTGAGCAAACAAACGTGTGCCTGCTCTCCTATAATTAAAGAAAATCCTGAAGGGTTTCAGGTTAACAGGGCATCGGACTCTGTAGTTTATGAAGTCCAATAGAAACTCGGCGTCTAGCCAACCGGGAACTCATTCGGTCACACAGTTATCGATTGATATGGGCTAGCAATCTCAAGCAACGGTAGTCATATCTGTGAGGTAACAGGCTTTCCAATGTTGGGGAGTTGGTTGATTATTGTACCGACGGTTAGAGTGTCTAAATGGGAATTTTCCACATTGTCATGGGAAGCGACTTAGAACATGACCTGGAATGAAGATGCCGGCGGCATGGTATGACCGATTCTCGGAAAAATACCAAGGGGAAACTGTCCTGATTTACTATGGTGCACACCACCACAAAATACAAACAGTTCGGTCCTCTGCAAATGCTCGAATGGGTCTTCCCGAGCACGGTTTTTTGGGTGGACAGGGCCGTGCTAACGTAGGAAACTACTCACAAGGTTGCTGAAAACTCTTCGACAGCCCACGACCGGTTTCGCCCTTGTTGGGGCTCATCAGGTAGGCGCAGTCCTCGAGTTTCCGTCAACCTTATTTTCTACTTGAACCCGAATTGTACTGTTTTCCAGAAATACCCTAATTTGCAAATCAGGGATTCTGGTAAAAGTGATTAAATCACAAGTCACTCACTGCAAGCATCAAAACTTTGACGTAGTTCGCAATCCCCACCACGGGGAACAGAATATGCAACAGAAGCTTTTTCGTCCCTTGAATTTAAGACTAACCAACCCCCTCATTCGACCGTTTCCGGCAGCTACCCAGTAGAGTCTCACAGAATATGGTGAGCAGGTTAGTCCCTTGCCGAACCATCAAACTCTCTCTGAATTAGTATTGTGTGGATTTCACGCGTCAGCAGGGATTTTTCAACGATTTTATGGTGCAAACGTGAGGGCAAAACTTTTTCTCTCCAGTGCTTTTTAGTCACAGAATCGAAGTAAAACTCGTCTAAATCGCTCAATGGCTAGAGAATTAACAAATTTAGCGGATTCGGATAGTCAACAGCGCTTTGGATTTCTCTCGAGCAGTGCCAAGTATCAGACTCACACGTGAGTCTGTTACCATGTCGAAAAAAAGATCTTCCAGCTTTGGTTTGTCGCTTCAACTGCGCAGTTGTGTGTGCGTAAAACTCACTCCAGTGCCTGACGCTGTACCTATCGTGAATCAATACGAGAACCAGTTTGTCAAAATTGATCGCTTCTCCCCTGCCCATCTTATATTCGCAGTACATGGTAAAAAACCACGTCCTACAGGAACGCGCGCTGGAAGAAATCTCCTATTGTTCGGTATGCTCAGACCTGATCTGGGGGTTGAGTCCACAATCCCTGTCTTGCTGTTGTAAGTAATTTTTTATTGACTCGTTTATCTGTTTGACCAATCAGGGATTGCCAATCTGTTTGCATTTCAACCAACTCTTTGGCTAAGTGAATTCAACTAGTTGAATAGATGCATTTTCTGTGAACGCCTGTCAGACAGCCTCGCGTTGGGGTCTTTTAAAAATTGCGCCTTTATTTCTGAAAGGTGTTTGGGTTTGCCAGCATGGAGATCGGGGTGAATTTGTCCACGTTAGACTGTTATATTCCATCCGCGTACGGGCGCTCAGTATTCGAACGATGGAATCGAATTTTCAAAAATTGCGTCGCTGGTGGACTAAAACAGACGGGAAATTGATTTCCGAGCCCCAGCTGGGCATCCAGGGGTCCCAGTGATATTAGGAAAGTATCCCAACAGAATGTTTACTTCAGAGGTGTGATTACTTTGGTTGTCGATGAAATTTGGTGAGCTTCGAAGGCCTGAAAATGAATCAGGGTGTTAGGTTTTGGTTTGAGCACATACGCAGCAAAGAGTTTTATTCCACTCACAAAGGTTCTGCAGCTAGGAGCATTGTGCGGTCAACGAGTCTCCTCGGTCCACTGAGCATATGTTCAAAAATTTATCGTGAAACGTCCTTGTTGGTTGGGAAGGTAATTTTATTTTGAAAGTTTGCGCTAGATCGCCTAAAAATAGAGAACTAATCGCTTTATCTTCCATTCGGAGGGCCTGTTATTGTCGCTGAGAGAGATGATGAGATGATTTTTGTGGAATTTTTATGAGCCGGTAGGAACTTTGACAGTTGGTTTCCTTTTATGGTACCTTCCCTCTGTGTGATTCACCTTGACTTTCAAATCATGTCCGATGATTCAAGACGATTTTTGCTTGAAACAGCAGATAGTTTGGCAGGTATATCCCATACCAAGATGACGGTTCTATTCAACTCCCATCTAAATTCCCCGTAGTGAGTTCGTCTTTGAGGGGCACCGGAGTTGCGAGAACATGATAAAAAGGAAGTTCGGATAGCGAAAACTTCAAGAATATGACTTCTTTTCGCTTAGAGCACACGCAACAATCGAAGCAAATAACGTGGTCACTTCACAATGAGTTACGCGCGTATATTGGAATGCAGGTGTCTGCCTGTCTTCGTCGAGCCCTTGTACAGTCCGTCGGGAATTCAGTCACTTTGTCTTGTGTTGTCGCTTGTTCGTTGCTATGGTTCTTTTTGCACTCTCATTCCCATAGACTGTGACCTTAACGTTCATCAGAAGTGCCGCGCTGGTGTCCGTGACGTGTGTTCAAGAGAGGGCCGTAAATCACTATCCTCGAGTATTGCAACCGCGACTAAATTCTCTCCACCGGAGGTTGCTGTCCCACAGAAAGTTGTCGCCGGAATTCCACCGTCCGGTTCGATAATGCAGGATGTTGCAGGAAACAGCACGTCAGGTAGGTACAATTACTAAAAGAGAGCAGTTACTTGGCCACCCGAATTCTCGGATATCGAACATTTGACCCCCATGTTGCGAATGCTCAAACCTCGCAGTTAAATAGCCGCGCCGAGTACTTTGATGTTTAGATTCTATGGGCTTGACATCGTTTACCAAACAAGATCAAATACTGATTCGATTTTATAAAATCGCCACAGATGACCAGATTGAATGCGGTTTCAAGCTTGAGATGGAAGACAGTTGGCCCCGCTAAAGGAGTGGATTTCTCTCAGAGACCACCTATCATAAAAAAGCTGTAAGCAATTAGGCTAATTGCTAACAAGTTTTGTATCTTCCGAACGCACAAATGTGTTTGTCTTCGCTTCTTGTTCGAGCTCTTTCGGCCCAAGAACCGCGGCAATGGGATTGTCGAATCCTGTTCATAATCACTAAACGTGCTTTGATGATGATGCGTTTCTGTTCACCCACACTCTTCAATCCCTTCCAAATCATTCATTCATTCATTCATTCATTCATTCACTCATCCATCCATCCATCCATCCATTCATCCATTCATTCATTCATTCATTCATTCACTCATCCATCCATCCATCCATCCATTCATCCATTCATTCATTCATTCATTCATTCACTCATCCATCCATCCATCCATCCATTCATCCATTCATTCATTCAACAGTGGAAGTCGAGTGGCAGAGGTCGGGTTCGAACCACGGCCCTTTCGGTCAGTAAATTAGCGCTCTAACCACTTGGTCCATCTCGCCCCGTCCAAATAAACCACTCTGATAGGTTACCTCAAGGGGTCTGTGCAAGACAGAGGATTCTTACACGAGCCCAGGGACTCAAGCTCATCCCAGCAATTCTGCGATGCCAGTCGTTCCTTTAATTTGGTATATGTGAGGTTTCAAAGCTCAATACGGACGGTTTCACTGTGTACTGTGGGATGAACTTTAAGATGGGAGCCGACAGGCTTGAAAGAGATCTTTTCGGATAAAGACAACCGACGATGATTCTAGTCTAAATGCAGACCAAGGTAGGGACTTGATCGGGTCGCGAGGGCAAGCCCCTTCGCCCGCATTGTAGCTTATCAGACAGAGATCGAACACGTGACCCTTTGATTGGCAGTTTCAGAATTTCACCTCTGGATCAGCGGTCTGCCGCTGTCCAATTTTTGTAACCAACGCATTGAAGTTTAGACGTGGCGATCATCTACCTATCCGAGAACACTTGGACGGTTAAACCTGCTTAGATATAGCCCTATGTGGTTTAGACTTCACCTCAAACCCACAGTTTGGTACTCATCAGCTTTTTTATGAAGATCAGAAACTTGTCCAACAAAGTTGGACAAGCCGATAACCTCAGCTTTCTAGTCTGGTGCCTTCATAGAACATCGCGACCTTAACCCACGGTGGACTACCTATTGAGTGTAATGTACTATGCATACACATAAACTGACACTTTTTTGTGCCAAAGTCTCAATAGGAACTGGTTGCAGAGCTCGGGATAGCTCAGAGATTAAGACGCACAGTTACTGATGGTCCGTGGTTTGGTCAGACTCTAGACTGCTCCTGTCCGGCCTTGGGCAGTCTGGCATTAACTCGTAGCTCCGTTGGGCGGCAAAACAGGCATGAATAAATAAAAATAGTAAAGTGTTCAGCTGTAGCACCCTTTCGGTGCCTAGCTGCCATGCCACCAGAAGGAAGCACGAAGGCTGGGAGGATACTGCCAGGTCGCCCATGTCTAAACAGGGGAAGCCGAGTGGCAGAGGTCGGGTTCGAACCACGGACCTTTCGGTCAGTAAATTAGCGCTCTAACCACTTGGTCCATCTCGCCCCATGGCATGGCTTACACCTGAGTGCTACGTGGGCTCGGCGACTTGAACAACTTGCAGATACTAAATGGTCCTAATTTCAGACGATACTAAAAGATAAAACGTCTGTGGATGTGTGCAGACTGGCACATACAATCGTGCAACCTTCCCGGCTCCCTTCACATATACCGGTTCAATTAACCGTAGCCAGGGTGATAAAAATAAGGAAACCGAGGTGATGCACTCGCCAAGAACAGGCTTGGGCAACCTGGCAGTAGCCCATCCATGGTGCTTCCTTCAAGTGGCAGGGCAGCTAGGCACCTAAAGGGAGTTACAGTTAAACGATGTTCTTTTCTGAAGAACAGAAGCATCACCACCACTTTGCTCTGATTGCGTACGGCAGTTTCAGACAACCTAGGGAAGCTCAGAGATAACAGTACTCACTGTCCAGCTGATTCGTGCACACATTAGGCGCACCAATACACCATACACCATTGCATTTCGAACCTTTCGAACTAGGTTAGGTTGTGATTGGAACACCGCTTTGGGTTCCTAAACGGACTAACCCACTTACGGAAACCTGTGTGCACTGCAACACAGTCAGAACTCTTTTGTCAGAAGATGTCATCTCCCCAGAAGAGATTATTCAAGAATGTGGTACTTTGGAACCTGTGTTTGGTCTACGAATGGTCCGGAGAGGCACGCACTACATACGTGCTCAACCCTACCAAGGTCCGCACTTGTATCGTCATAAATACGAAGGACAAAAGGAAACTAGTTAATGTCTCCAGTTCAGGTCTCCCCTGGGAACTTTTCTGGTGATCTAACCTTTCAAACTCACTCAAAAACACTCAAAAACAATTTCATTCGGTTTCAAAAACGGTGAAGTTGACAATACGGTGAACGTGACTCGTCTGCACAACCCTACCGGAACTTTTTCCACAGTTACACAACAAATGTCTGAATTGATTCACTCATAAACACAAATGACATATCGAAAAGTCATACCACTGGAGTTGTGTGCTACTCACTAACCTCATCTCCCATTGTCCCGTTCCCTACCTCCATTTCAATCTAACCCTAACCTCTGTGTTTGACAATAATCTAACGCACCAAATGACTTATTCAACCTAACCGCGCTAGCAACCGAACAGGGCACGCGGCTGTACCGTCTGAAAATCCACAAAACAAGCAAAAGTTTTCGAATGGTGGGCGACTTGTCTTCCGTCCCGAAGTTAGTGCGCGGAAGCTTGTCCAACCTAGCAACCGGTAAGTAGGCAGCGGCATCCTAACTAAACACACGGCATCTTGTTGTGCACCTGTTTTGCAAAATCATCTGACCTAATTTGTATCTTGCTCCATCGCACAGTGTGCTCAAAACGCTCTGTTTCTTTCTCCTCCTTTGTTGTATCGATCGGTGTTGGCTGGTCAGTTATTTCAAAGTGCTACTTTCTCCAATTACGACGGCTCCTGGTCACGTGATGACCTTGTGGGACGATGGTACGTTCCAACGGTTACAGACATGTAATTTCGGCTCCGGAATATGCACTCACTGAATGGAGATCGATACCGGAACAGGTTTTTCCTTGCCAGACACGTTTAGACCAAGGCATATTCGTTCGACGATTGCAGCAAACCATTACTTGTTTACACAATGTGTGTCTCTTGGGGAACATTTGTCGCGTGATAAGATGGAAACGTTTCATTTTGTGGACATCCTCAGAACAACGACTCTAAAATCAAACACTGCGCTAATCTAACACGCTAAGGTACTGTAGTCTAATCTGAATTAGACCAGTCATTCTCCATTTTCCTCAGCATCAATGAGATTAACGGTAATGCATTGGTGCCAACTGTTGGCGCCATAGGGGAATTAGGACAAAAACACTCGGTAAAGAATGGAGTGGGAAACTGGGAGCAACATTAATGAAATAAAAACGCAGGAGTATGAAACCGTCAGGGGGATAGGCCCCATTTACGAACGCCACCCAACACAAGCTCAGTGTACAAAGGCGGAAGTTTAGCTGGGCTGGAAAGTGAAAACATTTCGACCACTGAGGCCAATTTCATTTACAGTTAGCATCACGTGGCCGTCAGCCAAGACGTTTCGAAGTTCATACCCAGCTTGACTTCAGCCGCGTTCGTTTCGCGTGCCTGTGTCTTGGCCTCAAACCACTCAACCTGAAATCATTTTTTTTTACTTTCTTGGCTGTTCTGATTGGCTGACGCACTTGCTTGTACATCATGCCAGTTCAGATGTTGTGTCACGATCGAACTACTAATATGGTACGAAAACGTCGCGGAGCAAGAGGAAATTTTGAAGCTTGAGCAGAGATCTTGTTGCCCAAGTACAACCATTTGACACTGGAAGCACTGTGCAGTTGTTTCGTCCCTACCGAGAACGTTGCGCTCTTAAGAGGGACTGACCTAATTAGATTTATGACCAGAGGAATTTTAGTTTCCGCAAGCGATTTTCCTGGATGCTCCATCGATAAACAAGGAGAGAGAGAGATGTACTGGAGAAAGTTAACATCATTTACGATAGCTGCTTGTAGCTCAGTGTTTAAGGCGCGAGCATACTTACCGAAAGGCTGATGGTTCCAGTTTGAGCTACACACCTTGGCCCCAAGCAACTTGGCAATATCCCAACCCTCGTGCTTTCTTCGTGTGGTATATAACTCTTTCTCCGAATGCATTTTACAGCTGAGTGATTCCTTATCGTGGGTACCTCAGTTATCCACTGAGGATGTCCATTCAACATCTCTAGGGCCTCTCCTACCAGACAAGTCGGCGAATAGAGGTCTGATAAACATTCTCCCGGCTCTCGAGCTTGTTCCTTGGGGTTTGGGTTAATTGACTGATCTCAAGCCGATCGTGACTACGTCTCAGTCAGGTTTTTCAGCCGAAAACCTTGATCGTTCTTCTGTCCGATTTTGGGTGCCTCACAGTGTCCATACACAGCCATGATCTTTGCGGAAGTACCTGCATGCCATGCCGACCGTGCCACCCGATTCGAGCGAAAACACGTGCCTGCTGACACAACCATCCGTCTTCATTGTCACTCATTCCTAGATAGATCCCCTGGTTGAGCACGTGTAGAATTAACGCACTGCACTCCAAGGCTCACGTCTAACGCTCATCGTCCGCTATCCAGGTCTCGTTTCCTTTTTTTTTATTAATAAAGCCTTTATAAAGTCAACACTTCTGGGCAGATCACCCAACAAGCTCTTTTTGCATGCCCTCTGGATACTCTAGTGAATGACATCTGTTGTTTCCAAAACTCGAATATACGATCCAAGTAGAGTTGGTGAACTTACGGCACCGTCTAGCCACTAGAAAATTCGGGCTTCGAATCATTCTGGAGCTGCTGCGGTGAGTCACGTTGCTGTTGGTATGGCCTTAAATTCTCGAGCCCAGGTTTCATCGCTCGACTGGATATCGGTAAACAGCCGACGCTGTGTTGCACTACTTTCTGGCTCACCCTGGTCGAAATACCAAAAGCCATTTGTCATGTCCGTTTGCGAACCAACCAATCGTAGCTTTGCTCTGGCCCACTACGAAGAGCCAGACAGACCAGCAGTTGAGCTACCTGGCGCCCCTTGCTACTGAGCAGCTTTGGAGTCAATTTGACCAACCTTAGAATAGCTTTGAGAGCCAGAAACTGGGGAAACATAACAGGAATCTACCGGAATGCAACGCATTGCAGTCGGTCTCCCTAGAAGAGACTGGCCATAATTTGGAACTCTGCATGTGCTGTCCCCAAACCATTGTATCTCAGAGTGGTCATCATTACTTCTTGATTCCATCGGGTTCAGAGCACAGTTTGGCCTTAGGATCAATTAGATGATAGTTCAACGGTAGTTTGTGTGTGTGTGGAAAGAGTGGAATGGTGAACGAGAATGTTCGAGAAATGGAAGATGTGGCTGAGAGTAGAAGGAAGCTGTCCCTTCCAGGACCTGAAGGTCTTTCCGTGAATTAGTCGATGATAATACTGGAAACCTTAATATATAGTACAGAGTGGAGTCTAGCTGGCAGTTTAGTTGGCCCTTTAACACTACACTTACGTCTCTCATTCGACTAGCTCATTTTAAGCCCTGATCTGTGTGTCGATATCTTCCCTCATTGCCTTGAGTGGCTTTCGGGCTACTGGACCAAGTGAACTTTTTCTAGCGTTGCTCCAAGGTGAGGGACAGTCTTTGTGTTCCGCTTTGACCGGAAACCCAAAAGTGTCCACAGGCACCGTGACAACTAGTGGAGTCCCATCTCCGCTTTCTTTGCTCACCATTGTCGTCAACGATTAGTTGCCCACATAGAATATCGGAGGTGATCCCACGTTTTGGCCTGCGATTTACATCTTCAAAGTGCAATGTCTTACTCCAAGACTTCCCATACCCTTGTGCTTCTCTCAATCTGAAAATGAAGAGCTTGAGTTGGTTGACTGGCAGTCGCATAAGCCGGTGTTGTACTCTGTCGGAGGAAGTCGATACATGGATACCAAAGGCGTTAGCCAAATGCGAATTGATTTGATTCTAACTGGAGATTCAACTGAATCTAGGTTGAATCAGAGGTCAGAGAGTTGGAGAACCTCACACACATATTAGGTGAGCACAAGGGGAACATAGACAAACCACCAAGAAACGCAGACGGATATGGAGTTACTCAAAGACCCAGTAATGACGGGGCACAAGCTAGACACGAAACACAAAATAAATCCAGAAAAAAGCTTGAAAGTTTGAGGTGAGGACTACCATTCACGACAAAGCGATTGATGACCGAGGCGGCCGAAATCNCCACCAAGAAACGCAGACGGATATGGAGTACTCAAAGACCCAGTAATGACGGGGCACAAGCTAGACACGAAACACAAAATAAATCCAGAAAAAAGCTTGAAAGTTTAAGGTGAGGACTACCATTCACGACAAAGCGATTGATGACCGAGGCGGCCGAAATCGTCCCATGAACGAAGTGAGATTTGCTGAGCCTGTCCGATCATCACCGAAGAGGAGTGATCAACATGAAGTACATAGCCCAAACCGGTCAATAGTCCACGTGACCTCACCGTTATCCTACAAACCCACACAAGCTAATGATATTGAACAAGGACGCACGTGAGCGTTCATCACCGGAACTTCGACTACCTAATCCGGACCAAAATAGTTTTACATCCCCACAACCTAAGGGCCTGTACTTACTGGCCAGAATTCAACAGTGGTCTAGTGTTCCTGCCGAAGAAAATTCTCCGTCTGCATCCAAACTCGAACAACCTATTAGCTTACTCACTGGAACCCACAAAGCGTCAAAAGCGAAATCACAAGGGTTGACGCTGGATGGCTACTTGACAAAACAACGCTTGAAATGTTGTCTATAGTGGTCATTTCCGTTTTGAACTATTATACTGCTGTCCGGTTTGACTCACGAAACGTATCAACACATACTCCAGATTGGTAACGAGTGGCTGGAAGCTTCATTACATCATTACATCGGTACTTGGGGCAAGGAGCATGTTGGGGCTTCGTGCAGGTGGTGAAAAGAGATCAACAGTTCACTTTCAATCTAATGTAGGTCTCAAGCTAGTATCGGTTCACTTATCTGCTCTGAGTTCAAGATAGCTCAGCGGTTGAGGTTGGAATTTACTGGCCGGAAGGTTTGTGGTTCGAACCCAATCCCGGCATTTCGACTGCTCCTGCTTGGATAACCCGACGGTAGCTCAACTCTCGCGCTTCCTTCAGGCGGTATGGCAGCTAAGCACCGAAGTGGTGTTGTAGCTGAGCGATTATTTACCACTGTTGTGTTTATTTCCCCCCTCCTCCACTCACGCCAATTCGATACAACGTAATTAATGATAAAGAGGGAAATCTTTGGGAATTACTTATCCCAGAAGCAAACAGTCTAGCAGTCTACAAAATTCATCCTGGTTGCTATCAAGCAGTTCACGATTGACTGTTGAACGTTTCCTCACTTTCCGACTAGTGTAGACTCCGAAACTCCAGTCTACATTACCCGATTTACAATAGGTACGATAAGGTTGTGTTTGGACTAGACTAACCCGGTTTGGACCGCGCACTTGCTAACTAAATCGATATCCTGCTCTGGTTTGCCACGACGTCTGATGATTCCATCAACGCATCACCTACAATTTTTGTCAAAATCATCCACATAAATCCTAAAAAACTGGTTAATACTGCAAGTCTGAAAAGTTTTTTTCCTTGTGTAACCCGAAAAATTAAGGTAGCATTGTTCCTCATTTCAAGGTCAAATCTATTCAGGTGGCCCCAAGTCAACTTTTACATCTTTGTGCGATTTGTTTAGGAAAATTCACATGTTGAACGTTGCTCGAGGCCGGGCAGCATTCATGTCTGATTCAAATTGCTACTCGTTTCCACGGGACTTCTTGTACCGACCGAAAGCTACGGTGCTCCTCTGACAAGGCTCCACGCCCGTCGGTACAACCCAGAGCAATGGTAAAACGAGCACTATTGACGAGTTCGGCTGTTCTGATTGCAAAAACCGACCTCGTTTACAACGGTTATGCTTTCTAGTTATCTTTCATTCTCTTGCTCAACTCTAGCGACGGATTCTGGCCTGTTTGATGCTACACTCCGGCGGTCTGGTTCACAGACTAGCATTCCAACAACAACTGCCTGTCTGTCCAATAAGCCGTCCTTCAGCAGTGTCGATTCCCAACCAGGTCCGAGTGAGCTTAGTCTGACGGATGATGGAGACTCACTGCTTGCTTCAAAACCAAAGTCTTTCGGCGATGACACGGCAGAGTCGGAATCCCGTAAGTTGTTTTTTCCCCTGTACTCTTTCCTTGCCTTTTACCAAAGTTCAAAGCGGCCTCCCTGATTAGGGTGCCGTCTTTCTCGGGTGACTCGTCAACAAGATGATAATGGTGATGATGAAAGATGGTTTTCCGATGGCTGTAAGTTACTTGTAGACAAAAAACTATCCCCATTTTAGAATACAGCTCATCAAGACTAAGCTCACGTCTAAGCAGGGTCGGAACGTGGGTCGAAATAGGTTGGATTTTTTTTTACCTTTGCAGGTGCAGCGGTTCTTAGGAACTCGTCTATCTCGTCTGCCCTTATTCAAACGTTCAAGATAATTTTTGCGAAATGGCGGTCACAAGGCGTTCTACAATCTGAAAGACCCAAATCAGCTGTTCGGAATGTCTCTACTCAATCGATTAGGTACAACTGCCATCTTTTCATACAAAATAAGTAGAGAACATTCCTAATTGAACATTTGAGAGCAGCGGTTGGTAAACCGTTCAATATTTCCTTCTTAACGTCCAGTTGCACATGTTATTACCTGATTGAATCACAGTATTGATCGACCGCTTCACAGCGCTCATGCTTAGTCGACCTCGGTCTGAAAAAAACGTATGTGGAATGTATGTTGTTGACCGGTTATGTGAGTTTTTTTTGGTGGGAATTTCTCCACTTCTAGGCTTCATTATTATGTAATATCAACTGGCTCGTTAGATGAATACGCATCCGAAAACAAGTCGGAAAAGAAATGCCGAAACCCCCTCAGGCGTAGCGTTGCGTTCAGTCTGACGCGCCTGCGTCGCACGCATGCACACACACGCACGCACCGCACGTACGCACACGCACACGTACAGACGCACGCACAGATCAGCACGTTCGGAAAAGGAAGGTGATACACGGTTTTGTCTCGAGTTTGTTAAGGCTTCCAGCACGCGCTCGTGAAACTGAAAATTCTCGAGTGAAAGCTTCCGATGAGACTTCACTACAGCAGTTTACAAAACTGTACCATTCGTCTAACATTGCACACGGGCCAGGAAAATGTATGAAGGCCAACGGTAGGCACGTGAATATGATGCGTGCGTTCACCCAAACGTTTCAATGGTTACCTTATGCTTAGCTTATCTGGTGAGCAACACTGTCACGTCAGCCCACATGTACTTTTAAATCGTGGACTCTGAAGCATACAAAATTGAGTCCATCATACACCTCAGTTTACACCTCCTCTTGACTCAGGTTAATGGTCTTGCCGCCAAACTGCACTATTCCGTTCGCGATCGTAGATAATCGAAAAACCCAATAGTGCAAAGCGGAGGGTTGTCGAGTATCATTGAATAACTTGTTCACTTGGCAAACATTGTGACCACTCATGAGTCGCCGAGTCGTTTATCCCAACTGATGATCCATCTTCAATGATAACCAACAGATCACGTGACTGTCTTCGTGTGTGTTTGCCTGATGAACCCCTATGCAGGCCTTGATGGCTGATCTCTTTGAGATGGCTCACATCTTTTTCTCTTCCGCAGCAGGTTTATTCAGGAAGTAAGGGTAACGGCGTTCTCAGTTGGGGCATGAACGTTTCCTTCTCACAGTTGTTAATCATTACGGTTGTATGCAGTCCACACAGAATAGGATTAGTTTCTGAGAGGTTTGGTAAACAATCGTTGGATTTATTGCTGCGCAACGTTTCGCTTTTGACACAAAAGCTTCGTCAGGCCAAGTGAATAAGTAACTAAGTAGGTTGGTTGGGTTTTAAGGCAGTCAGGAAACCAATCCGTGAGATTCCTTATGACTAGTGACTTGATCAGTACTGGGTGTTCAGTCTGATGTTCCTGCTTGTTGGTTAGTGGGGATGACTAAGATTTACGATAGATTGGTTTGGGGGGGGGGATTCGGCTTTCTGATGAACCCGGATTTTTTCGTCCTTGCTTTTTCAATGGAAAATTCCTCTTGGAGTCGTTCACAGATTTCCTTCACCTGTGTTCGTCCAAGGGTGCTGGGACAATTAGTTTGGGGATGGGGGTGGGCTGGTTAATTGGATCTAACGCTACTTGGATTTTGTACTTTTAGACCCAGGCGATTTCGCTGATAACTGCACACCGCCTCGTGTCATCTCGGCTGATCTAAGACCGCTCTCCACACGTTTGCAAGTTCTACCCCCTCTATTCTATTCACACTGGGATGCTTGGCGATTTCCACCGCCTCGGCCACCAGTCGCTGTGGTTTGAATCTTAAACCCCGTCTCAGGATGTCCACATTTTCTGAATCTATCCTATGCTCAGTGTCTAGTGCACGCCCTGCCACTGCCGAATCTTCGACTATCGCCTGAACTTGATGGCTGATCTCTTTGAGATGGCTCATATCTTTTTCTCTTTTGCGGCAGATTTATTCAGTAAGTAAGGTTACCGGTGTACTCATTCGAACGTTTCCTGTTCACAGTTGCTAGTCATTACAGTTGGATTAGCTCCAAAGAATACCGAAAGTACGCAACTTTTTGGTTCGGCCACGTCCGTTACCGGCTGTTCCAAGATACTGACCATCAGGAATGACGTGCAAAAACCTACAACGATTTAACATACGATGAAAGAAGAGTAGCGTAGATCCGTTGTATGTGAGTGACACTCACACCTTCAAAATAATGTGTCCGACTGTTGTCAGGCTGATTTCAAAACCAGATTACCTGTAAGAACTGATGGACCGCTTGTCCTGCATACCATCACTAGCCTCGTGTCATCTGAAAACCAGCGAGTCGGTTTGGTTATTTTATCGACCCGTTTCCCCACATGTCTATATTAACACTTTCGGTCTATTCACAATTGCTCTCATAGCTTCCGCCAAACAATCGGCCTTTCTTTTGTGTCCAAAAGGTAACGATCTCCCATCCCTTCCCCTATATTCGACGGTGTTTGCAGTCCTTGACTAATAATCGGAACGTATTACCTTTCCTATTATTTCCGGAGATTTCCTCATAGTATAACGCCGTTTCATAACTGCCCATCCACGTTTTCTCTCATTCACACGGCGGTCACCGAAATTAGTTGAGCCGTATTCCACATTCTCTTGTGACAGTACAGGAAATGCCCAACCGTGCAGTCGTAGATTCGCCCAGCGGACTGCCGCAACTTCCTCCCGTAATGATGAGAAGCACCGAAGGGAAACGGCACCGAAAGTCTCGTCACGGCAAAACGGTTTCTTTATCAGGTTATCACGGCGGTGCATGTGTCTTGTTTGTTAACACACTCACACTCATGGTCCTCACACAGATGTCTTGTGCGTGTGTGTGTGTGTGTGTGTGTCAATTTGGTGTTCCCCGAATTTGCTTACAAACGGAAACGTCATCAGACCTTCGGGTCAAAACCTGGTTAGAGCCGAATCCCTTTAGACAGATGTTCCCGCGAGAGAGATCGATAGACCAAAAACTCAGTTTACCCAAACGGTACTGATTACGGATTCGTCTCGTCATCCAGAGCGAATAAGCTAGGACACCCCAATTTTCCACAATGCTGTATAGACGCATCAATTCCTCGACTTACTTTCCTCTGAGCAGGGGCCACGCTAACCTGTTAACGGCCCAAAGTGAGTTTTACTCGGACAAGAGCTGTCCCGTTCTCAGAAAAGCAGAATACAGCTCGGTTTCTGGTCATTCGGGTCTGTTTGTTTTTTGGTGAGTTCTGATCACCCATACATACCAATCGACTGAGCACTAGCCAGCAGACTTGTGGGGTCACTCCATACTACCGATAATCTATAAGTAGCTTAGAGGAAAAACAGAAGAGGAAACCTTCCATACGAAAAATCGTCATTCGAGGGACTAGTCAACACTTGTGACCGCGTGATGTGGATCGTGTGACATGAGAATGAATGGCATTATATTCTGTATACGTGCGAGTGAACCTCACTGCTAATCAACCCTTTGTGACCGAACGGTCAAGCGTTCTGACTAGCAACCGGGAGGTGAGGGGTTCGAGACTCTCAAACAGAGTCTTGTGAGATGCGCACGGCTGATAGTTCCAAGTAAGGGTGAAACAGCTTTACAGCGCTTTTCTGATTTCCAGCACAGACCAGTTAAACCACAAATTAGCTAAGATGGTCGGAATTCGAGAACGACCTACCGAGATAAACTGTTCAGAGCTGAGAAAAATCAACTTCTGTTTCGAGCGAATTCTTGCACAAGAAAACAACTTGGTTGGTAGCACACCATTTTGCCGTGAAGGTTAAAAGTGTACAGTATTAAGAAATCCCGTCATCCTTATCAGACGCGAACAATCAAGGTTCGCTAGATACGGGTATCCTGTACACAATTCAATCGTTCATCGATCAACCCCATGCCGTCACCAAAAACCCATTAAAGATGCAAACAGATCCATGCTCCGGCTTATTGTATAACGTTTGAAATCGTTCCTCACTTGCTACAAGCCTGACAGCATGTTATTCACTTTCCTCATATAAAAAACATCAGCGAAAGTGACCCCCACGCGAACGAATCACCGTCGGGAAGTACCAGGATGTTTCGCCGTTAGTGAGGCGGACCAAATAAGTTGAACCATCCTGAGAAACTTGTTTTTAGCGCTTTCTTGATTTCAAGTTGCGCTTTAATTTTGTTGGTCCGTTAGCGTATGTCACTCGCAACTGTGATTAGCTTCAATCGTGCCGACGATGACGGACTGGACACTGGAGCCGTGCTCAACCACTGATCGGGCCACGCTCGGGCAGGGAGGGTTTGCTGAGATTGTGGGACGGTATAACGGGATTCNGGCAGGGAGGGTTTGCTGAGATTGTGGGACGGTATAACGGCATTCCTGGTTATATGGATTGATACAGTTGAATAAACTATGCTTCTCATGAACCCATCTGTTTGGTGACTGCTATTCAACTATCAAGCACTTCCTTATCAGCTCTGAAATGTTCGCTTCCTCAAGATGGTAATCAAGAAGCAACAGGAACCTTCCCTATTTACGGAGTGTTTCTATTTTGGGGGCTCTCGTATGCGGGTTTCTCGGGGTGCCTTTTGAGTGCAAGCCGAAAAACCAGGGCGAATTAGATGTTGTTAGGTGAGAAGGTCCCGGGCTACGGTGAATTTCTGTTTAACCCTAATGGGCTAGTTACCTTGTGCGAGTTTTAATTACCAGATGTCCTCCGTTACGTTCATGGCCAAAAGTTCAAATCAATTTCACGTCTAACCTTATTGTCATCAGTCATTCATAACCGGATCTCTTCAGTCAAAACCTCACACCTTATCCCATGGAGGCTACCTTGAGTAAACAATTGTTCATATAGAATGCCGTTATTGGTCACCCAATTGGTCGCACCTCATTGGCTGACCAATCACCGGCGGAGGGGATTGAATGGAATGGACTAATGTTCATCAACACTGGTAACTGCGGATTCGCTGCTCCCGTTTAACGATCGTTCACCGTTACGGCTAAGTCAAGTGACACTGAATGAAACTCTTCACATGCTTTTGGAACGCACATCATTTCAGGGTGATATTCCGGGCAAAGTGGTGTTGGCTAATAACTTCTTTCCTTATGAATGAATAACCACATGACACAACCTCTTTCTGTCCAATCCTTTCATCGTAGGACACGTGCTGCGGATGAAAAATCGATATGATGGTAGTGAGATGGAGTCACGGTCTTCACTTTTCAGGAAGTAAGTTCATTTAAAGATAGACTTTTTATACACACGCCCTTATTTTAAAGACACGGTCAAGAGACAGCGATCCTCGGAATGACATTACTCATGAATGATCCGTCAAAAGTGGGTCATTCGTTTGAAAAACTTGGTACAAACGCAGGACGTGGATAAATCTGTAAAACTGATGTAAATGACGCTTTGCCTTACATGTAAACACAAAATAATGATGTCTTTTGGCCTTCTATGTTTACTGAACCAAGATGCGGTTCGAACAAGTTATCACTTTGGTTTATTCCGGCTTATTTCTTGAAAATATGAATTTCCCAGCAAGTAATCAGGCACTCTTCCAAGGAACGTGTTTCTTTATCCAATCACACAGTCAGCCATTTGACTACGCATGCAAGTTTAGAAGAAGTTAGCAAAGGTTGCCCAAACCAAGACAACTTCCTTTGGAAAATCTGCAGCAATGTTCCTTTCAGTCACAACTTCGTCAAAGATCTCGACAGGAATTTGCTGCCTGACTGGGACTAAACTGAATCCAGCTGAATCTCTCGTTTACGATGGCTCGTTTCAATCGAATTTGCTGCACCAAGCTGGTACGATTTTCAGGATGTCGCAATACCTTTTTGTCAAGAGGTAACACTACTCGTAAATCGCCAACCGAGACCTGAGTCGGTCTGTTGCGGACCATCACAAACGAGGGATTCACTTGAGTCTCCTATCAAAAACCACATTCGTGTTCAAATGAGAGCATTTACTGACACCTGTCGAATTCGGGTTCAAGTAGAACACAAGGTTCACGGAAAACTCGGGGCTACGTCCCACCTGATGAGCCCTAAAAAGAGTGAAACTGGTCGTGGGCTTTCGAAGAGTTTTCATCAACCGTATTTGTAGTGTATTACATCTATCCAATGTTTTTTAGTCAAGTTCTTAGGTTCTTACCCGAAGAACCTTGTGTTCATCCAGCCTGAGTGGATGTTGACAAATCTACACAGTTTCAAAACCGCCCCGATCACTAGCACCCTTTATTCAGAGTGTGAGTAGGTCGTCAGGTGGTTTGAGTGCTTCCACATTCCTAACGTCATCTTGTCAATTTGTCTCACAGTAAAGTGTACGGCGTGTGTGAGAGAAGGATAGTTGAGGAATCTCACGTGACCTGTGTCCTGACCACAGTTTTGGTATCCTGGCTTTCTCCACTGAACCAAGCGGTACCAGTTAAGTTGTTTCCTTTATTGGATCACGTAACGTGTCACCTGGTTGCCACCTAATGCGTGCAGATCAATAATCTGACGTTCTAAATACTAAGAGCTGCGTGATTATTGCAAATCGAATCCCTGAAGTTGACTCAAAAAGTCACGTCGGACACATTCACACTGGTCGACTACCACTCAGTATAGCCTTCGTGAGTTGTTTCATGTAGAGCTTTGGAGTGAGATCTGATCGGAGTCACTTGCCTGTCACGGTGTGACATTTTTTAACACGAGACTTACAGGCAGTGACCAGTGGCTTCGTGAAGCGCGTTTCTTATGTGGCAGGCATCCAGCGGTCCCGCCCTGTTGGTCAAAAGCTACGTTGCTATTCTACTTTACCAGCGAAAAACACTGAATATTTGTTGATGGGTCCTTACCTCAACCCTGACGGTTTCATGAGTGGTCTGTTACTAAGAAGACCGAATAACTACAGGTTCTTTCCATCCTTTTCATTTGCTCGTCAAAAATTATCGGTAATTCTTCGTCTGATCAAGCATACGTTGTGCGATTACTCACAGACAAGTTGTTTCCCTCCCCTTTCCAACCACAGGGAAAGCGTCAGTTCGGTACAATCTGTCGCCGCCGGTCAGGATACAATGTCAGATTCCTCACCTCGCACAACTGCGATCGATGCATTCCCTGAACTGGTCACGACCAACTGGAGTGATGATCCAGAGATGATCGCCAGTGAAAGCTTTGAGGCCGCAGTAGAGTTGCGGTATCAGTTCCCTAATTATCAGATGCCGGCAAAGGTACGTGAACTTGATGAGATACGGTATCACAGGTAAACGGTATGAATAAGGCTGCATTTGGTTGGGAACAAAACAAGCGGGCGCAATGAACTGAACTGAAAAATGTTCATCGCTAGGTAATTCTCCGAATGAATGGGAACAATCCATTCCAGTCTAGTTTCAGCTCCTTTTGAGTACAGTCATACCTGCCCCATCCGCTTTTTTGGGCGCTAAAGTACCAAGAATCGTGTCGTACATTGGGAGAAAGTGATTGTGGGGATAAACAGATGACTAAGGTTCACTAGTGGACCTTTATTGGTTTTTATTTTCCGCTTAGTGGAACACTCCTCGAACATTCTGCCATTGACAGCAACGCTGTCGGATCTTGAATAGGCCAATCCCACAGGTCTTTCGGTCCTCATTTGGACTCATCAGGTTGGTGCAGAGAGGTCAGATTGAAATTGCATGTGAGTCCCAGATTCGATCGGTCACCAAAGAAAACTATCCAGTCGTAGTCAGGTTATTGTCCGAATGAACCAATGGCTGGTTGAAATCAAGTATTCTGTGTCATCCTGTCATGTGTTCGGCTGTAATCCCACTCGATACAGCTCATGATTATTTCAGCACCTTGCGCATCTAACGGCAGTTAATACCTCGCACCTGATTGGTCGGTTGTTCGCCGCGTTCTCATTGGCTGACCTGTGGTAAAGGATTCTGATAAATTGGAAGACTAGATGACGATGAGTCAACATACTCATCCTTGTGCATTTCAGGAATTCTGTAAGCATAATCACGACTACATTGTTTCTCGGTTTAGTTCCTTTTTTCCGCCCCTATCTCTAAAACGATATGTGTACAGGTTATCAGGAGAGGGGCCGGCAGCCAATTTGAAACGGTTCATATGACAATCGAACCCAAGTCGTCCACTAAGCCGCTCCTTCGCAACCTCATCAGTATGTGTAGCCCGTTCGTACTTGTGTAATTAAGATACTTGATAGTACTTGGAAAAAGAGATGGTGTGCAGAGGAGAGGTTGAATTGAATGTCTCACATTTGGCCTTTATCCATTTGAACAGGGCATCAAGAGTGAGGACTACATACGGACATTATGCCTGCTAGAATTTCACCAGAAAACCCAATACATGGTTCGTCACCTGAAGCAGTATGAATATTTGCTGATACGACCATGGCCAGCGGAACATCAGATTCTGGCACAGGAGCTCTGTCTGGATCGAATTCCCAAATTGATCGATCTCTTCCGAAGTCTTGTGACCTGCATCGATCGTACGAAAACTGCTCAGGGCTACGTGGGCATGGCAGAAGCGGTGCTTGCCTGGCTCACCGATAATTCCAAGGCGAATTTAAAGGTTTGTCTCTTTACTTTTACGCGGTTGCTTATTTTGAGTGGTCCTACGTATATCGATGCCACTGAAGTACTCTTTTGAGGTTTCTGTATTCATTTTCTCGTCGTAGTCCTTTAGCTGTAACACCCTTCCAGTGCCCAGCTGACATGCCACCTAAAGAAGGTACAAAGACTAAGATACTGCCAGGTTACCCAAACCTAGACAAGAGTAGTTGAGATATCGGGGTTGGATTCGAAACACGAGCCTCGTAAAAAGACCGAGCTATCTGGAGTCCCCTATTCCGCCAACAGTGACTGTATTGTTTTCTTTGAGTATTTCCAGCACGGTCGATCAAATTGGTGGACACGTACTAAGAGTTGAGATGTTCTCACCCAGGCCAGGTAACGTATCAGTGCCTGACCGTTGCATTAGCCTTAGCATTTTGATCATGTGTGACAGAAAAATTATCATCTACTGTGTTCACGAAAGAAAGTTTCTCCCGAATGAATTCGACCGTTGGTCGTTGATCATCCCGTCTGTCTGCATGAAAGGAGCGGGTGATAGCCGTCTTTTGTTTCTGCTTAGAGCAGACAGCATCGTTCTTTCCATAGTCATATGTAACCATTGAGTAATAACTCGAGCGATACCGAATCCCGTGTATATCGGAAAGGTGGAATGCTCCCAGGGTGCGGCATCTCTTTAGAGAGAATTCTGTTTGGGCTTGCAGGGGTTACCATTCGAGTCCCAGCTTCTATCCAAGACTCTGATTTCTAATAACATGCTGTTCGGAGCGAATATTATCAACGGATCTTGACCGTAAGCCTCGCTCCCCCCCAGAAAGTTGTACCACTCCTCTGACCGAAAGAATGGACAAAACTTTGTAGCATTTTCGTCGCCTGCGAGCTGAAAAATAGCATAAACGATGGACAGCAGTTGTTTTTTAATAACGTGATACCATTGTTTTCACAATGGGAGCAAAACTGGGACTTTAGCATGTTGCATTCACTAGTTCGACTAGGCGCCTTATGAAGCAGCAAACAGCACGTATTGTGAAGAGGTTATGAGCTTCATTCCTACTTGGAGTAGTGTTCAGTTTCGCTGAAGATCTACTTCCATCAAAAGTACATCGCCTACGACATAACTTCGTCCGGCAAGCACCGTATTGACAACCTGCCCCTGCTATTGTATAGTAAGGTAGAACAATGCATACATAGTATTGCATGACTGATTATTGACGGGAAGGGGAAAGGAATTATCACTCCAACCTTGTCCAGAAAGTCTTGTCGCGTCTATCCTTAGAATAAATTTAGCTTTTTTGAGGCCATTCATGATGAATACAGCACGAATCTAGTGTATTTTTTAATAGTGATCTCATCCTGTCAGTGAAGACAATCTATGCTGAAAAGCCTAGACGCACTGTGCAACTGTTTCATCCTTATTTGGGCCAGCTGAAACAGCATTTTCCAGCAGAGGTTCATCGCTCGCAGTTTCGTTCATCACGAGCAACCTTCATCAGGAGTGATGTTTATCAAAGTCACAAGCCACGGAACACGTGCCAACGATTCCAACATTGGGGGGTAGTCAGTTATTCCAGTTGGCTGAGTTCGTGTTTGGACCTTGTTATGTCTTGATGTACGGTAGTGCAACTCTGTATCGGTCCCTTGGCTTCCTGCTCCGCCCACTATGGTATAGCAAAAGGCACGGTAGCTCTACACAGCCCTTTATGGAGACAAAGGAAAATCATTACAACTGTATATATATAGGGTAGTCACAGAGTGTTCCACAAGGTCGTGCCAGAATGTCCGTGAGGGGGCGAGAACCGTCGAGTCAAGGTGCTTGACTCGGATTGGCTGGCATTCTGACCAATCAGGGCATGCCTACGTCTGGCCCGTGTCCTGCACGTGACACATGCGTCCAAATGATGTGATGTTCGGTTATTAGAGACGGCTGGCCCCCGAACAGACCTATTGATTGCTTTGAGACTGGGAGAGTTACATTTGCGTGACCCTGTTTTTTTTTTTTGGGGGGGGGGATGGACTGAACAATCCTGTCCTTACATCAGCTACTTGCAGGCCCTCAGTTTGGTCGGCACTTTTGAAATGACGATGAATTGCTGGGGTTTCTACACATTGACGTCCTGCATACGGTGTCCGCGATTCGATAAAACAATGTCTTATGGTTCTCTGTCAAGACACAGTGAAACTAACAAGTATTATTCCAGCCCTCGTACCTGAATAGCAGCTGCATGCTTAATTCCCCCGTGGCTTTGTACCTCACACACGCGATCCTTTCGATCATCCGGTATGACACGGTCTTTTCGGATGCACTTTTTGCCATTCTGGTCGAAACGCGCCGCGCATACGTGCGATTTTGATGAGACTGTTGATATGGTTTCAAACATATTGTCTAACAGGCGAGGGGTTCTCTGTCAAGACACAGTGAAACTAACAAGTATTATTCCAGCTCTCGTACCTGAATAGCAGCTGCATGCTTAATTCCCCCGTGGCTTTGTACCTCTCACACGCGATCCTTTCGATCATCCGGTATGACACGGTCTTTTCGGATGCACTTGTTGCCATTCTGGTCGAAACGCGCTGCGCATACTTGCGATTTTGATGAGACTGTTGATATCTTTTCAAACATATTGTCTACACAGGCGAGCGAACCAGTCTATCATTGGTTCCACTGTCGTTTTGTCTACTTGCGTTTCGGACGAATGAAGTAGTCTAGTCTTCCGAATACTATTCATTGTTCTACCACTTCATTTAAACAAAGCTGATTCGTTTTGTTTATTTAAAATTCTGTTGATTGGTGGAGCGAACCGGGACAAAGAAGTTGAACGCTCCGATTGAACCGGATGTCGACGTTATCATGGTCATTAAGGTGTTAGTTAAGTGGTGGGCTTTCAAATAATCCATCCACCCTGGACAAATATCTGCCGTGGTTGATGCGATAAGGGAACCCATACTCAAGTGTCTGGCACAGTTGTTTGCCCCGTGGCTTGGGACATCACTTGCGTTAGTTATACACATTCTCAACCGTTCCCTTTCTCTTTGGTTCACTGGGTGAGTTCATTGGATTTATCTTTGATCAATACTTTCTGCTGATTTCTACTCAGATTTGGGCGCAACATTGTCAGGCGCTGTCTTGCACGAATATGCTGGATTGCGTTAGCAAGTGGGTTCGAGACTATGCTCAACGTCATCCGGATATTGTGCGTCTGCTCCAGACTCGGCACAACAAATTCGTCCTGCTCGATGGCCTAAAACACATGCGGATTCTCTACTTCAACTTGCCTCTCATCGCCAACAACATTGTCAAGGATTTGGACAAGAAAACAAAGTCGTACAGAGGTAGGCATAGGATGCAACAAGTCTGCAACTTTTGTTGGGTTATCTACTAACGTTTGAGAGTAGTATCGAATGAAACTTCAGTGTCAGACCTCACGTCAGCTGTCAAAAGTAGTAGCAATTCAAATGAGTGTTCATGCTTATATCTTTGTAATGTACTACTCATAAGGTTGCTGAAAATCCATCGACAGCCCACGACCGGTTTCGCCCTTCTTGGGGCTCATCAGGTAGGCGCAGTCCCCGGGTTTCCGTCAACCTTATGTTCTATTTGCTATTTGAGTGAATATGCTTCCCGAAGGATTCTTCATGTTTCTGGTCGCACTATGATCAAGATCTCGACGTATGCCTGAGTTTGCTAAAAATCTCCGGCGGTCCACTGCCAGTTTCATCCATCTTGGAGGTGTGAGCTTGGGAACCAAAAAGGGGCTCTGGAAGAGACTTCAGTAACCTTATGAGTAGTGTGTTGTGTTCAGAAAAGGAGCTTTTGGGTTTCTTTATGCAAAACGACAGAGTGTTCGCTCAACAGAACACGGTTCTTCGAGTTTGTTTTCGCGTTATGTGTCTACCTCTTGTCAATAGTCTTCTCCGATAAGATCATCCACCTGATGCAAAAAAGTCCGTAAATAACAGACTGTCAGAGAAAATGAACCGGGTAAGGTAAACATTACTCAGTCACAACCGCTACGACCCTCTGGTTCCTGAAACAGCATGCTCTTGGAGGTTTCAAAAGCGCTGTACGGCTGTTTCACCCTTACGGAAGGCCACTAGCATAGCGCGTCTCACGAAACTCCACGCCGTCTAATTGGTCGAACATTTCACCCACAAGAGGCAGTCTGATCAACCCATCCTTAAGCACCGTCACTCGCGGAACCCGTGTTAACCGATCACGCTTGTTTGTCTGGTTCAATGGGTGGTAACTTTTCAGGGGAAACCTTCACGCACCCTGTGAAATCATTCTTCTAGTGAGCTACTTATAGAAAGTTGATAGTGTGAGGCGAAATGGCGATTTCCAATTGAGGTTTTGTCGTATACATCCGGATTCCTATGACTGTGATGAATTTTCATGTTTTTACGATGCGGTTCATTTATTTTTACGTCCTATCGATGTGGATCACCCAGTTTTGTCACTCAGCTTTTTTGCCCGTTATCGCGTAACGTTTTCTAATGTTTCCTCTGGAGGACTTTGAGTGCCAACTTTACAAAAGAGTTACGTTCTCAATTTCATTCATCGTCTTTCTTTTCTTTCAGCTGAGGCGAAAATCTGGCAACAGATTCATGGGCACCTAGCCAGTCTACCACAGACGATTGATGACGTCTGCATGCCTCTAGTGAAGAAGATCAATAACGGACAACTTCAGTCCAGTTTGGATAGAAAGGATGCCATCTTCCGACAACCAAACGCCACAGTTACCCCCTATCAAGTGAGTAGTGAGTTGTGCTCACGTTTACTTCACTCCATCCACCCTCCAACAACCACAAAACTGAGTTCACATCATTCAGCATAGGTCACTTCGTGTTGAAGATCCTGGACGCACCGTGCAATCTTATCAGTGGTGTGAATTTCCAAGGCCTCTTTAAGACGGGTTGGAAGCTGAACACTGCTCTACTCGACCACGAGTGGCTGACCAACAATGTGGATATAACTCCTCTACATCACTGTCGTGGTTTACATCACGTGACCCAGTGCTGGATGTCTCCTTGATTGATGACTTATCAGAAGAAAGAGGCTCATGCAAATTGTGGGATTTCACTAAGGCACGTGTGGTTGACTTCCGGAATCAATAGCCTGAAAGAGCTAACCACGATGCTGTCACGCTCAACGGAGCAGACGCCTTGTTCATCCATTTGTACCCCTACCGTATGGGTCGAAACGGTGTCTGCTCATCTCTGTATCGCCGAGACTAACACACGCATCGTTCTAATGTTTGAGGCATCGGATTTTGAATTTAGGTTTTCTATTTCGGGTTGAAATCTGCTTTCGAGGACTCTGCGGGAATACACCAACTAGACACAGCATCTGATGGGCTGTTTTTCGCTTTCCGTGTGTCAAACTAACGCGACGGACCCATTCATGGAATGACGCAGATGCTTTCTGCTCCTTAGGAAGCTTCGAAGGAAAATCCAG